GCCTTTTCTCTCTCTCTCTCATCTTCTCGGCGATTTCTACCATCTTGAGTCCTCCTCTCGCGTCTTCAGTTCTCACCCCTTGTCCTTGTTACGTTAATATCTCGGTGGGCCCTTGTCTGGCAGGATGGGGATGGTTTCGTGTTGTTTAACCTTTCTTGCACTTACCTTTGCACTGCTATCGTATTTTCGTAACTTTTTTTGATGTAACGTTGTTACCCTGCCCCTACTGGACATCTGTGAAAAAAAGAGCTTCATGGTTTATCGGATTGCTCCGGTATGAACACATTGTCCTTGCGGAGGGAGCTGGTAGGAACGTTGGGTTGCTCGGTCAATGGCCAGGGTCAACGGCGGCGTGGTGTATTCCGCAAATATGCCCGACTGTGAGGGCGGGCACAAGCCGGCGTGAGTAGGTTAAACGTTGAGTTTTATAAGGGCACCACTGGGTGACCAGCCCCTCCCCACCCAGCCCCACCCCTCCCACCCAGCCCCACCCCACCCTCCCCTCCCCACCCAGCCCCTCCCCTCCCCACCCAGCTCCTCCCCACCCTCCCCTCCCCACCCAGCCCCTCCCCACCCTCCCCTTCCCACCCAGCCCCTCTCCACCCTCCCCACCCAGCCCCACCCTCCCCTCCCAGCCCCTCCCCACCCTCCCCTCTCCACCCAGCCCCATCCCTCTCATTTTTGGATGCACGCCGGACGGACGGGCGGTCACAATAATCCCCTGTGGGCTGGTGGAACCAGGAGGTTCCTACCAGTGATGCACATTCTCATTATGATATACGCATGCATCTGGCACACCACCAGGGATGGTGCCCGGCTCGCTGCAGAGCTCAGCCGGTGCGGGGTGGGGTGGATTCGGCCGGTCCAAATGGAAAATAAAAATAAAATGAACATTATTTTAGAAAATGTCAACCGCTCGTTTTCAATCTTATGTTCTCCGTAGCCGTTCACGGCACTGGCTTGATATTAATTCGTATTTCATTTCGTTACAAATTGGATGCAATGACATTTGATAATTGCAAAGCAATCTGCATAGGGGGCAAAAGTAATAATAATAATACTTAATAAAAAAATACACATTATAATATTACGTGCAACAAACGTGCAGCCCCCTGTCTTGGTGGCATGGTCGTGAAAAGTGAGCACTGGGGAGACAAAGGTGGCTGGGTGCGAGTGGAGCCTTTATGCGTCTGCTCGAGAGAGGCCCGCAGAGTCTCATCCAGCAGTGGATTGGCAAGGGCGCCGTGTGTGCGTGCACACACGTGGACAGCGCGCCACGCAACTAACCCGGCAAGCCGAGTTTGATTCCCACGTAGACAACACGTGTTTGTCTACGTGCTGTGTTACGTGTGTGTGTGCTGGATAACACCAGCGACGATTATCGTAAACCAGTCCTGGGCCACCCCTAGGTTGACTCAGCCTCGAATGAGTCACCTGGCGCGGCGTGTAAACATCGCGACTGGGGAGACAAAGGCGGCCGGGCGTGTTGCTGGCCACCCCCCCCCCCTCGTGGCGCCGTGGTGCTCGCTAACAGCACTTGCCCCGCGCCCGTGGCGTCGATCTTCCGTCGTGGCGAGAAGACGCGGAGCGGTGGCGCAGCCGCCACGACTTCGCGTCGATCCTCTGTGCGGGAGATTACGTTTTGTCGTTGTTGTTGTCGTTGTTGTTGCCGCCGCCGCTGCTGCTGCTGCGAGATTTAAAGGTCACGCAGCAAGGTCGCGATCGCGCCACTGAATAACCATGAGACTTGGCAGTGTGTGATGTGTGTGTGCAGTTGGGAGTGTGTGTGGTGGTGTGTGGTTGTCTGTGTGTGTGGTGGTGTGTGGTGGTGTGTCTGTGCGTGTGTGTAGTGTGTGGTGGTGTGTCTGTGTGTGTGTGGTGGTGTGTGGTGGTGTGTCTGTGCGTGTGTGTAGTGTGTGGTGGTGTGTCTGTGTGTGTGTGGTAGTGTGTGTGAGGTGGTGTGTGGTTGTGTGTGTGGTGGTGGTGTGTCTGTGCGTGTGTGTAGGGTGTGGCGGTGTGTCTGTAAGTGTGAGGTGGTGTGTGGTTGTGTGTGTGTCGTGGTGTGTTTGTACGTGTGAGGTGGTGTGTGATTGTGTGAGTGTGTGTGTGGTGGTGTGTCTGTACGAGTGTGTAGTGTGTGGTTGTGTGTTTGTACGTGTGAAGTGGTGTGTGTGCGTGTGAGGTGGTGTGTGTGCGTGTGAGGTGGTGTGGCTGTACATGTGAGATGGTGCGTCAGGTGGTGTGTGCGTGTGTGTAGTGTGTCTGTGTGTGTGTGGTGTGTCTGTACACGTAAGGTGGTATGTGCGTGTGTGTAGTGTGTCTGTCTGCATGTGCGTGGTGTGTCTGTGCATGTGTGATAGTGTGTGCCTGTGTGTTGGATGTGTAAAGAGCGGTGGTGCAGCGGTTAGCGCGCTGCGCTACGAACCTGGCCACCCGGGTTCGATTCCCGCTCACGGCTAACACCAATAGTGACGATTATTTGAACCGGTCCTGGGCATCCCCTAGGTCGACTCAGCCTCAAATGAGTACCTGGTGCGCTGTGTAAACATCGCCACTTGGGAGACAAAGGCGGCCGGGCGTGGTGTTAGCCATCCACCCACTCGTGTGCCGTGCCGGCCTTCATAGGTGCTCGCTAACAGCACTTGCCCCAACACTCTGCTACAGGCTATACGGGGATCTTTATCTTTGGCGATGTGTGTGCGCATGTTTGTGGGAGAGAGGAGCTGCGGTGCCTTGCACGGTGCTACATATTGACTACAACCTCTGCCGTCTGGGCTCGATTCCAGGTCAAAACTCCAGCAGCATCGAAATAAATCCGGGTGGCTCTCGATCCGAAAGGCTGCGAGTTCAATTCCTTTTGTTGGTAAGTCGACAGCGGCTGTCCTTCGTAAAGACTGGGCCCCATCATAGATGTGTGTAATTTCCTCCATCGGCTCAGGCCTGTGAACATAAGATGTGCGGCAAATCACTTTGGTTTATTTACACAGGATACCCGTAGGTGATGTTTGTTTTGCTGACGATTGCTCAGTTTCATGAGCGTTTGGCTTCCTTGTCGGATGAAACTGAAGGCGTCGCGAGGGAAAACTTCCACGCCATGCGTACAGGTGTGGGTGACGCTCGGAGCTCCCGCACAGATGGATTCAATCTGCAATTCAGGTCGTAGCGATACGAATCGAGGGCGCCACGGTGGCTAGGAGATGTTAACTACCTCGCCTGGTATGCAGGAGGTCGTGGGCTCGATCCCGACCCTGACGCTTGCATATTTGGAGTTTGCGGTGTCTCTCTCTCCCCGTGGCCACGTGGATTTTTCTCCGAGTCCTCTGGTTTTTTTCAGCTCCGCATTTAGAATCATGTGTTTAAGAGTAATTTGGCTGCTATACATTTCTACGTGATGAGCCACTTCGTTGAGCTATGATTTGTGGCCAGGTGACTTCTGAAAAAGAATCTACACAGGCTCGGTTGGCCTTAACCTGGTAAAATAAAAAGAGTTTAGTTTTAGAATCGAGTCGGTTCCACCCATAGGGTCCCCGGTGTCCGTCCAGTCTGTTGCCGTATCACCGAATCCGGCGGGTCGGATTGAAAGAGAATATTTTAATATTTTAAACTCTCTCTCTCTCCTTCTCGCTCATTGCGAAAATCGATGGCGCGTGTTAATGGATCGCACGCCGCGCGGCATCCATTCGTCATGCGCCGACTGCGTGTCAGCAAACCCAGAAAGTCTGCCCGGGTAGCTCAAGCGCACGGTGGCTCTCTCTGTAAGGTGTCTCTCTGTCGAGCGGAGCGCTCTGACACGTCGTGGTTCCGAAGTGGATTTCGTGGAAGCAGAGTGAGACCTCGAGGGGGGACCAGGAATTTAGTCTCATTTGCAAGAGCGGAGCCGGTGGGGGGGGGGGGCTGTCACTGAAATGTCAAAATCAAAACAACACTCTGTTGTTGTTGTTGTCACGTGCGGAGTGAAAAGGCACAACAAACGATTGCGTCGTCGCACGAGCAATCGGACACGTGGCGCGGAGCGGTGGCCGTGTGAGCAGAGGAATTGCGGGGGAATTGCGGGGGGATTGCAGGGGCTGCAGCTTTGCCTGGAACAAACAGCGGTGGGCTCTGGACGGTGCATAACAGCAGATGCCTTCTGATATCCCAGGGATTAGCAGAAACCTCCCCTCCCCACTCTCATTGTACCCCTCCTCCACCCCCGACTGCTCCACCTCCTCCTCCTCCTCTCGAGCAATTTGACTGTCGTGTTCGCTTGTCTTCATTCAACTCAGGAAGTAATTTATGTCTGTGTGCGTCTGTCTCTATTCGTGTGTGTATGTTTGTTTATGCGCGTTGTGTGTAATGCTATGTTGTGTTGTGGAGGTATTGTGTGTAGTATCCGTGTTGTGTGGTGTTTGTGTGGTGTGCATTTTGGTGTGTGTGGTGTGTGTAATGTACGTTGTGTGTTGTTGTGTGTGTGTTGTTGTGTGTTGTTGTGTGTGTGTTGTTGTGTGTGTGTTGTTGTGTGTGTGTGTTGTTGTGTGTGGTTGTTAGTTTGTTACGCTTTGGAGCCAGCTGGCCAGGATTGTGCAAAATTTCGCCCCCGACTCTTCACCCAGGCAACTCGAGAGGACAGACCACGTGTTGTATAACCTCTAACACTCAAACTAACGATAACATACGTGTTGTGTGCGTGTTGTTTATGTGTGCGTGCGTGTCGTGTGTGCTGGCCAACACCAGCGACGATTATATCTGAACCGGTCCTGGAACTCCCCTAGGTCGCCTCAGCCTCAAATGAGTATCTGGTGCGGCGGTGTAGCAGTGTAGTAAACATCGCCACTGGGAGGGGGGGGGGGACAAGGGCCGGGCGTGGTGCCAGCCACCCACCCCGCTTCGTGCGCCGTGCCCGGCCTCCAGATGCACTTCTGCTGCTGCTACTCGCTAAACACAGCACTTGCCCCAACCGTCTGCTAAGGCTACGCTGGGGGGGGGGGGGGATCTTTGTCTTTGTGTGCGCGCCCCGGCAGACGGAGCGATGAATAAGCTGCGGCAGAGTCTGCGCAGGAAGAAGGAGAACTACGTGCCGGAGGCGAGCCGCCCGCACCAGTGGCAGGCGGACGAGGAGGCGGTGAGGCGCGGCCACTGCAACTTCCCCGTCAAGGTGAGGCCAAAGGATGCCTTGTCAAGGTGAGGCCCCTGGTGGCCTTGTCAAGGTGAGGCCCCTGGTGGCCTTGTCAAGGTGAGGCCCCTGGTGGCCTTGTCAAGGTGAGGCCCGAGGAGGCCTTGTCAAGGTGAGGCCCCTGGTGGCCTTGTCAAGGTGAGGCCCCTGGTGGCCTTGTCAAGGTGAGGCCCCTGGTGGCCTTGTCAAGGTGAGGCCCCTGGTGGCCTTGTCAAGGTGAGGCCCCTGGTGGCCTTGTCAAGGTGAGGCCCCTGGTGGCCCTGTCAAGGTGAGGCCCGTGATGGCCCTGTCAAGGTGAGGCCCGAGGTGGCCTTGTCAAGGTGAGGTCAGAGGTGGCCTTGTCAAGGTGAGGCCAGAGGTGGCCTTGTCAAGGTGAGGCGCCTGGTGGCCCTGTCAAGGTGAGGTCCCTGGTGGCCTTGTCAAAGTGAGGCCCCTGATGGCCTTGTCAAGGTGAGGCCAGAGGTGGCCCTGTCAAGGTGACGCTCGTGGTGACCTTGTCAAGGTGAGGCCCGCGGTGGCCCTGTCAAGGTGAGGCCCGTGGTGGCCTTGTCAAGGTGAGGCCCGAGGAGGCCTTGTCAAGGTGAGGCCCGTGGTGGCCTTGTCAAGGTGAGGCCCGTGGTGGCCTTGTCAAGGTGAGGCCCCTGGTGGCCTTGTCAAGGTGAGGCCCCTGGTGGCCTTGTCAAGGTGAGGCCCGAGGAGGCCTTGTCAAGGTGAGGCCCCTGGTGGCCTTGTCAAGGTGAGGCCCGTGGTGGCCTTGTCAAGGTGAGGCCCCTGGTGGCCCTGTCAAGGTGAGGTTAGAGGTGGCCTTGTCAAGGTGAGGTTAGAGGTGGCCTTGTCAAGGTGAGGCCCTTTGTGGCCCCGTCAAGGTGAAGCCAGAGGTGGCCTTGTCAAGGTGAGGTTAGAGGTGGCCCTGTCAAGGTGAGGCCCGTGGTGGCCTTGTCAAGGTGAGGCCAGAGGTGGCCTTGTCAAGGTGAGGCTCGTGGTGGCCTTGTCAAGGTGAGGCCCGTGGTGGCCCCGTCAAGGTGAAGCCAGAGGTGGCCTTGTCAAGGTGAGGTTAGAGGTGGCCTTGTCAAGGTGAGGCCCGTGGTGGCCTTGTCAAGGTGAGGCCCGAGGTGGCCTTGTCAAGGTGAGGCCCCTGGTGGCCTTGTCAAGGTGAGGCCCCTGGTGGCCTTGTCAAGGTGAGGCCAGAGGTGGCCTTGTCAAGATGAGGCCAGAGGTGGCCTTGTCAAGGTGAGGTCAGAGGTGGCCTTGTCAAGGTGAGGCCAGAGGTGGCCTTGTCAAGGTGAGGCCCGTGGTGGCCTTGTCAAGGTGAGGCCCGTCGTGGCCTTGTCAAGGTGAGGTCAGAGGTGGCCTTGTCAAGATGAGGCCAGAGGTGGCCTTGTCAAGGTGAGGTCAGAGGTGGCCTTGTCAAGGTGAGGCCAGAGGTGGCCTTGTCAAGGTGAGGCCAGAGGTGGCCTTGTCAAGGTGAGGCCCGTGGTGGCCTTGTCAAGGTGAGGCCAGAGGTGGCCTTGTCAAGGTGAGGCCCGTGGTAGCCTTGTCAAGGTGAGGGCCGAGGTGGCCTTGTCAAGGTGAGGCTCGTGGTGGCCTTGTCAAGATGAGGCTCGCGGTGACCTTCTCAAGGTGAGGCCAGAGGTGGCCTTGTCAAGGTGAGGGCCGAGGTGGCCTTGTCAAGGTGAGGCTCATGTTGGCCTTGTCAAGGTGAGGCTCGTGTTGGCCTTGTCAAGGTGAGGCCCGTGGTGGCCTTGTCAAGGTGAGGCCCCTGGTGGCCTTGTCAAGGTGAGGCCAGAGGTGGCCTTGTCAAGGTGAGGTCAGAGGTGGCCTTGTCAAGGTGAGGCCAAAGGTGGCCTTGTCAAGGTGAGGTCAGAGGTGGCCTTGTCAAGATGAGGCCAGAGGTGGCCTTGTCAAGGTGAGGCCAGAGGTGGCCTTGTCAAGGCGAGGCCCGTGGTGGCCTTGTCAAGGTGAGGTAAGAGGTGGCCTTGTCAAGGTGAGGTCAGAGGTGGCCTTGTCAAGGTGAGGCCCCTGGTGACCTTGTCAAGGTGAGGTCAGAGGTGGCCTTGTCAAGGTGAGGCCAGAGGTGGCCTTGTCAAGGTGAGGCCAGAGGTGGCCTTGTCAAGGTGAGGCCAGAGGTGGTCTTGTCAAGGTTAGGCCAGAGGTGGCCCTGTTAAGATGAGGCTCGTGCTGATGGCCCGGAGTGCAGTGGTCGTGGCGGCACTGAGAGGCCGTGAGTGCTTGCTGGTGGTGGTGGTGGTCATGTCGGCGCGCTACGCTACGAACCCGCCGGCCCGAGTTCGATTCCCGCTGCCAACACCAGTGACGATTATCTGAACCGGTTCTGGGCCTCCCCTAGGTCGACTCAGCCTCAAATTACTACCTGGTGCGGTGTGTAAACATCGCTACTCAGGAGACAAAGGCGACCGTGCGTGGTGGTGGCCACCCCACCCCCTCGTGTGCCGTGCCGGCCTTCATGGGTGCTCGCTGTGCCCCGCACTTGCCCCGAGGAGTGCTTGCGCAGGGGCTCCTTTGTCTTTGTCCGTTCGCTTCGGGCGGTCACGTGGCACAAAAGGGGCGCTGTCCAGGATCCACGCGGTGTGGGCCGTACGTGCCACACACACACACGGGGTGTGACACACACACACACGGGGTGTTGCATGCCACACACACGGGGGTGTTGCGTGCCACACACACGAGGTGTTGCGTGACGCTGCGGCTCTACCGATTGAAACCCGAAGAGAAAAGAGCCAGAGAGTAGCGGGCATCCCGTGTGAAATAAAACCGCTCGCGCGTGAAATTGCTCCGAAATTCCGTGGCGCCCTGTTTGTGTGTGTGGGTGGTGTCTGTTGTGTGTGTTGTGTGGCTGGTGTGGTGTGGGTGGTGTCTGTTGTGTGTGTTGTGTGGCTGGTGTGTGTGATGTGTGTGGGCGGTGTCTGTTGTGTGTGTTGTGTGGCTGGTGTGGTGTGGGTGGTGTCTGTTGTGTGGGTTGTGTGGCTGGTGTGTGTGATGTGTGGGTGGTGTCTGTTGTGTGTGTTGTGTGGCTGGTGTGTGTGTGTGATGTTTGTGGGTGGTGTCTGTTGTGTGTGTTGTGTGGCTGGTGTGGTGTGGGTGGTGTCTGTTGTGTGTGTTGTGTGGCTGGTGTGTGTGTGTGATGTTTGTGGGTGGTGTCTGTTGTGTGTGTTGTGTGGCTGGTGTGGTGTGGGTGGTGTCTGTTGTGTGGGTTGTGTGGCTGGTGTGTGTGATGTATGTGGGCGGTGTCTGTTGTGTGTGTTGTGTGGCTGGTGTGGTGTGGGTGGTGTCTGTTGTGTGGGTTGTGTGGCTGGTGTGTGTGATGTGTGTGGGTGGTGTCTGTTGTGTGTGTTGTGTGGCTGGTGTGTGTGTGTGATGTTTGTGGGTGGTGTCTGTTGTGTGTGTTGTGTGGCTGGTGTGGTGTGGGTGGTGTCTGTTGTGTGTGTTGTGTGGCTGGTGTGTGTGTGTGATGTTTGTGGGTGGTGTCTGTTGTGTGTGTTGTGTGGCTGGTGTGGTGTGAGTGGTGTCTGTTGTGTGGGTTGTGTGGCTGGTGTGTGTGATGCGTGTCCGTGGTGTCTGTTGTGTGTGTTGTGTGGCTGGTGTGTGTGTGATGTTTGTGGGTGGTGTCTGTGTGGTGTGTATGGAAGGGTGGTGTGTGTGGTGGTTGCAATCCTATGGATGACTGTGATAGCTCGGTTGTGTGTGTGGTTTGTGTGTGTGTGGTGTGTGTGTGTATTGTGTGTGTGGTGTGTGTGTGGTGTGTGTGCGGTGTGTGTGTGGTGTGTGTGTGGGGTGTGTGGTGTGTGTGTGGTGTGTGTGTGGTGTGTCTGTGTGTGTGGTGTGTGTGTGGTGTGTGTGGTGTGTCTGTGTGGTGTGTGTGTGTGGTGTGTGTGTGTGTGGTGTGTGTGTGGTGTGTGTGGTGTGTCTGTGTGTGTGTGTCTGTGTGTGTGGTGTGTGTGGTGTGTGTGTGTGGTGTGTGGTGTGTGTGTGGTGTGTGTGTGGTGTGTGTGTGGTGTGTGTGTGTTGTGTGTGTGTGTGGTGTGTGTGGTGTGTGTGGTGTGTGTGTGGTGTGTGTGGTGTGTGTGTGGTGTCTGTGTGTGTGGTGTGTGTGTATGTGTGGTGTGTGTGGTGTGTGTGTGGTGTGTGTGTGGTGTGTGTGTGTGTGTGTCTGTGTGTGTGGGGTAGTGAAATTGCCTATAAATTGTCCCGCCTAGTCAAGTAGCAGCCTTCCTTTGCAGCAGCCCGTGCTGTGATTTTGTTGGTAATTTATATGTAAATGTGCGTGTGTGTGAATGTGTGTGTGTGTGGTGTGTGTGTGGTGTGTGAATGTGTGTGTGTGGTGTGTGTGTGTGTGAATGTGTGTGTGTGGTGTGTGTGTGTGTGTGTGTGGTGTGTGTGAATGTGTGTGTGTGTGCATGGTGTGTGTGTGTGTGAATGTGTGTGTGTGTGCGTGGTGTGTGTGTGTGTGAATGTGTGTGAATGTGTGTGTGAATGTGTGTGTGTGTGGTGTGTGAATGTGTGTGGTGTGTGAATGTGTGTGTGTGAATGTGTGTGTGTGAATATGTGTGTGTGAATGTGTGTGTGTGGTGTGTGCATGTGCGTGTGTGTGTGGTGTGTGAATGTGCGTGTGTGTGTGGTGTGTGAATGTGTGCGTGTGTGGTGTGTGAATGTGCGTGTGTGTGTGGTGTGTGAATGTGTGTGTGTGGTGTGTTAATGTGCGTGTGTGTGTGGTGTGTGAATGTGCGTGTGTGTGTGGTGTGTGAATGTGTGTGTGTGATGTGTGAATGTGTGTGTGTGTGTGAATGTGCGTGTGTGTGTGGTGTGTGTGAATGTGTGTGTGAGTGTCTATGTCGAGGGAGCGGTGGTGCAGTGGTTAGCGCACAACGCTCCGAACCAGGCCCACGGCTATAATCGGTGGCAGGTGGTATCACAACTTGTCCTGAGACTCCCCTAGGTTGCCTCAGACTGAAATGAGCGCTTGGAAGACAAAGGCGGATGGGGCATTGTAATGGCCACACCACCCCATCGTACGCCCTGGTGACCTGAATAGGTGCTCGCTAACAGAGCACTTGCCCCAGTCTATTAAAAGGCTACACAGGGGACCTTTGTCTTTTTATGTACGTGTATGCTTTGTGTCTACTAGTGTGCGTATGTATTTGTCTGTAAGAAAGTTTATTTATGTACTTGCACAATATCTATTTGTGTCTGTATCTGTGTGTGTGTGTAAATGTGGGGAGTGGTAGCGCAACGCTCACGGCCAACACCGGTGACGATTATCTGAACCGGTCCTGGGACTACCCTTGGTTGACTCAGCCTCAAATGAGTAGCTGGTGCGATGTGTAAACATCGCCACTGGGGAGACAAAGGCGGCCGGGCGTGGTGCTGGTCACCCATCCCGTCGTGTGCCGTGCCGGCCTTCATAGGTGCTCGCCAACAGCACTTGCCCCAACAGTCTGTTCAGACTACACGGGGGGTCTTTGCCTTTGTGTAAATGTGTATGTTAGCGTGTACATATGTAGGTGTATTGATGTGCGTGTGTATTCATGTGCATTCAGGAGTGTGTGCGTGTATGTGTCTGTCCGTGGATGTGTGTGTAAATTTCGATTTAAAGCTTTCGTGACTGCAGGGATTAATCTTCTTGGTTCTTTCGGTAAAGTCACGTAGAAGGGAAATAAAATAACAGCCCTGTTTTTCACCTGAGAACGGCTGCTTGCGTTGTGGCCGAAACGTCGTGAGAATTGTATTTTATTATGTTTTTATTTTATTTTCATTTTTTATTATTTCCCTTTTACGTGACTTTACCGAAAGAACCAAGAAGATGTGTGTGTATTTACGTGTAAGTCCCATGTTTGTGCCCGCGTCTGTCCGTGTATGCGCATGTGCTCATGTGCATTCGCCTGTATGTGTCCGTGTATGTGCTCACGCGTATGCAGCCGTGTGTGTGTGTGTCCGTCCGCGGGTGTGCATGCGTGTGCATGCGTGTGAATTCACGTGTATTTATTTGTGGCGTTTTATAAGCTGTCGTATTATTAGTTTGTTCGATGATAATTAGTTCTCCGTCAATGCCTGCCGCTACGCGATAGTGCAGCTCCCCGCGGGCCCTCTGTGAATGGGAGGAATCTTCTCGTGGCTATCAGCGGCCGCAGCCGTTGGTTGACAAGGTCAGAAAAAGAGCGATGGATGCAAGTGAAGAGGAAATCTCAAATCGGAGCTCGCAACGCCGGTGCAACGTGGGTTTTTATATCGCCGCGTCCTCAATGTAACCGCGCCTCGCAATGCTGGGCTCAAGCAGGGTGGTTGTTTGTTTCTAATATATATAGAGAGAGAGAGATTGGGGCAGTCGGTCCTATCCAGAGGAGAAGGGGAAGCTGTTGAGTCTGGATTTCAACAGGGTAGGGAGTCGACAGCACGGATGGCTGGGGGGGGGGGGGGGAAGGAGTTTCGGACCTTGGGAGCAGCAAAGGGGAAATGAGCGACCTCCCACCGAGCGACAACAACTGTGTAACACATCTTGTGTTCCTGGGTCGGCTTTCTGTGGAAGCCTCCATGACACGTGCCCCCCCCTCGTTGTGCCCCCCCCGTTGCCCCCCCCCGTTGTGCCCCCCCCCCCCCCCCCCCCACCGGTGTCTCTGCCTCGCCGCTGACGACCTGCCTGCCCGGCTCAGTACCTGGGCTGCGTGGAGGTGGACGAGTCGCGGGGGATGCACGTGTGTGAGGAGGCCGTGAAGAGGCTCAAAGCGGTGAGTCGCGTGAATCGGGGGGTTTTCCGCGGAGCGTGCGTGCGAATTGGGAATCTTTACTCGGGCTGGAAGAAATCCGGTGAGCCGATTAAGCTCTTTTATTTCAACGGCACGAGGTGACCCTCGGCACCGCTATTCTGCCAGTAGGGGCAGTCGCTTGACGAGCGTGGGGGGGGTGCCTGGTGGCCAAAGCTACGAGTTGGGGGGGATGCCCCTACAGCATTAAATGTTCGAGACCGTGAGTGCAACGACGATGCGATTACGGCAAGAGGAGACGCGATAGAGTAGAGCCTCGAGGTGCGACCGTGCGAGACAAATCAAATATTGGGGCTCGAGCTGACCGATTGCCGCACCTCCTGAGCTGATAGTGGAGTTATTACACAACTGATAATGTAGTTATTACAGAACTGATAATGTCGTTACTACACCACTGATAATGTAGTTACTACGCCACTTATAATGTAGTTACGACACCACTGATAATGTAGTTACTACGCCACTGATAATGTAGTTACTACACAACTGAGCAGGGGGTTTGGTGGCGATGATTGCTGCTGGATTGGAGTCCCAATTGAACAATTTGCTGGTAAGTTTTCAAATTTGGCCCCACTTTTTTTAGAACGATGTTGTGGCATCTTTGGCCGTGCGTATATAAAAAGTGTTTTAAAAAAAATAGATATTTAATTATTTAAAATAAAATGCCCGTCTTCTCCTCAGACGGACAGGAAGAAAATCCGCGCCGGGCTGTGGGTCTCCGCTGACGGACTTCGAGTGGTGGACGATGCCACCAAGGTACCGGTCAACTCCTAATCCCTTGCGGTCATTACGACAACCATCAGTCGCCATGCACGCACGTGTAGTGGGTTCACAACAGAGGTCGCAACCGGGTACCCGATACCCGTACCCTACCCGATACCCGGCTACCCGGCGCACGACGCGACCCGCCCGGTGCAGGGAGGCCCCTCATCCAGCAGTGGATGGTGCACTGTTGTGTCACGGTCACCCACCTACTGTGGGTGTTGCTGCTGCTGCTGCCGCTCAGGACATGATTGTGGACCAGACGATTGAGAAGGTCTCCTTCTGCGCCCCGGACCGCAACTACGACAAAGCCTTCTCCTACATCTGCAGGGACGGCACGACGCGTCGCTGGATATGCCATTCCTTCATGGCCATCAAGGACTCGGTATGCATTCGGGAACTTATTCCTTCGTTCATCCGTTCGTTTCGCCATTCATTCCTGTGGTACTTGTTCGTCAAATAGTTCGCCTCATTCATTCGTTTTTCATTCATCTGTTCCGGCCTTTATATATTGATTCATTTGTTTATTAATTCGATCTCATTCCTCCAATCACGATTTCCTTCATGAATTAACTCGTCGGCGACCTGGTTGGTCATTCGGTGACCTCGTCGCTCCATCGTCGATGATCCCATTGGTCCACCTGTGACCTTGTCGGTCTATCGGTTGGTGACCTCATTGGTCCATCCGTGACCTCGTCTGTCCATTGTAGGTGATCCCATTGGTCCATCTGTGACCTTGTTGTCCCGTCGTCGGTGACCTCGTCGGTCCAACGTCGGTGACCTCATTGGTCCATCCGTGACCTCGTCGCTTTGTCGGTGACCTCGTCGTTCCGCCCATCCCACGCCCCCCCCCCCCTGTACGCGCCCCGCAGGGCGAGCGGCTGAGCCACGCCGTGGGCTGCGCGTTCGCCGCGTGCCTCGAGCGCAAGCAGCGGCGCGAGAAGGAGTGCGGCGTCACCGCCACCTTCGACGCCAACCGCACCAGCTTCACCCGCGAGGGCTCCTTCCGCGCCAACGCCGCCAACGCCGCCAACGCCGCCGGCGGCGCCGGTGGTGCCGGTAGCGCCGTGGCGGGCGACAGGCCCGGCGACGAGGTGGCGGGGACGACGACGACGACGACGATGATGATGGTGGCGGTGACGATGACCGGAGCAGCGACGCACGAGCGAGCGTCGAAGGGTGAGCGGGTGGGTGGGTGGGTGGCGGGTGGGTGGGTGGTGGGTGGTTGGTGGACGGGTGGGTGGGTGGGTGGTGGGTGGGTGGTGGGTGGTGGGTGGGTGGTGGGTGGGTGATGGGTGGTGGGTGGGTGATGGGTGGTGGGTGGGTGGTGGACTGGTGGGTGGTGGGTGGGTGGTGGGTGTGTGATGGGTGCGTGTGCTGTGCTAGTAAACCGGCTACTTACCCGAGTTCGATTCCCGATGATGGCTACCAACGCCGATGACGATTATCTGGACCTGTCCCGGGTCTCCATTGACATGTCTACTCTAGTGGAAGTGCCTTATGCCGTTAATCATCGTCGTGTTCATCATTACAGCCTCACCCCTCGTCTCATCATCATCATCATCGTCACAGCCAACCATTGTCTAATAACCATCATCATCACAGTTTAGTAGTTTACGCCATGGTGTACGTGAGTGAGTGTGTGAGTCTCATCGCCATCACCACCATCGCCCCCATCACCACCACCGCCATCACCACCATCACCCCCATCACCACTACCGTCATCGCCCCCACCGCCATCACCACCATCACCCCCATCACCACCACCGTCATCGCCCCCACCGCCATCACCACCATCACCCCCATCACCACTACCGTCATCGCCCCCACCGCCATCACCACCATCACCCCCATCACCACTACCGTCATCGCCCCCACCGCCATCACCACCATCACCCCCATCACCACTACCGTCATCGCCCCCACCGCCATCACCACCATCACCCCCATCACCACCACCGTCATCGCCCCCACCGCCATCACCACCGTCACCATCTTCACCGTCGTCACGTCGTCTCGTCTTTGCCCCCCTCCCCCGCCTTCCCCCCCCCCCCCACCAGCGTCTCCCATCGAGAGAGCCATGGCAGCGATGTCGGAGGTCGGCAACTCGGGATCGGTGGTGGGAGGGCCGCCCCCCGCGTACCCCTCCCCCTCCTCCTCACCCTCCTCCTCCGTGGCCGGGCGCGGTGGCGGCGCTTCCCCAGCGGCGGCCCCGGCGGCCCCAGCGGCGCAGGCGGCGTGGACACCGGGGGAACCGCCGCCCCCTCACGCCGGGGGCCACAACCCCCACGCCATCCCCCGCAAGCACGCGCCGCTAGAGCAGTTGGTGCGGCAGGTGAGAGGCGCGTGCACCTAGCCTGGCGCGCACGGGCCACGGCGGCGGCGACGTCGCCAAGAGATCCGCGCTCGCGCCCGCTCACACGGTAACCGGTGACGGTCATCCGAACCGGTTTTCTCAAGCTCCCCTAGGTCGACCCGGCCTCAAATGAGCCGCCCGGTGCGGTGTGCAGTAAACATCGCCACTGGGGAGACAAAGGCGGCCGGGCGTGGTGCTGGCCACCCACCCCCCCTCGTGTGCCGTGCCGGCCTTCATAGGTGCTACTCGCTAAGAGAACTTGCCCCAAAGGTCTGTTTAGGCTACACGGGGGGATCTTTGTCTTTGTGAGTGTGTCTGTGGGAGTGTGCACGTGTGTGCGTCATTATAGTTGACGCAGCGATTCGTGCGATCGTTGTTTGAATGATTACGGTGTCACCTCCATCGTCGTCATCAATGCCAGGAGGTGGTGCTGGCTATGCACGTAGCTCTACCTGTAATCCAGCACTGTGGAGGCAGCAGTGAGGGTTGCTGGATCGCACACACACATAGATGTTGTGAAACTCCCTTACCGTGGGTGTCGTGGAGGTGCCGTACCCCTGGCTCACTTAGAAGGCGGTACAGCAAGTGGACTAATCGCCGTCTGTTTAATCCATCTGGATGGGATAGAGTGTTACTCCCTCGCACGCGTGGATTTTCTGTGGATCCTCCGGTTTCCTCCCATCATGTACCTACTCGTTCATATATAGAGGACCGTAGAGCTTGGGCAATTGCTTGTAGCGCCAGCTCATTTCTTTAGAACTGCTTTTTGTGTTTAGGTGTCCGATTAGCACCTTTGGCTACGTACGAAAAAAAGTTCAACATACATCATCATCACAGTTATCATCGTCATCTTCATCGTCGTCGTCAGACTTGCCACCCTCGCCACGGTCGCGAGCGATCAGGAATGAGCACTCACGTCCGCTGCCGTTGCCGCGCTTGTGCAGGGCTCGTTCCGCGGGTTCCCCGCGCTGGCGCAGAAGACGTCTCCATTCAAGCGGCAGCTCTCGCTGCGCGTCAACGACCTCCCGAGCACGCGGCAGAGACACATGGACTTCCAGGGTGCGGCGCGCACGCACCCACCCATCCACGCACCCACGCATGCACCCACGCATGGACCCACCCACGCACACACCCACCCATCCACGCACCCACGCATGCACCCACCCACACGCTGCACGCCCCCATCCACCCACCCACCCACGCACCCACCCACGCACGCCCCCATCCACCCACCCACGCACCCACCCACGCACGCACCCATCCACCCACCCACGCACCCACCCACACACGCACCCACCCACGTACCCACACACGCACCCACCCACGTACCCACACACGCACCCACCCACCCATGTACCCACCCACCCACGCAGGCACCCATCCACCCACCCACGCACCCACCCACGCACCCACCCACACACGCACCCACCCACTGTACCCACACACGCACCCACCCACCCATGTACCCACCTACCCACTGCACGCACCCCGCGTGCAGGAGCTGTAACTGGTGGGGTATAGGACACTACCGACCACCCACCCCCACACGCCCGACACCCCATGCCCTTCCTCCCGAGCGGTGGGGCGCCACCGGTCTCTCAACGCGATGGGCGGCTCGGCGAGGGGTTCCCCCCAATTCTGTCGCTTTGTCCTGTGACCACCGATCGTGCGGACGGGGTCCAACTTGGGGACGGTGACGATACCCAAAAGGAAAAGCGGGGTGGGGGGCGGGGTGTGACGTTCGCATCGCGCCATCGAGGTGACCGCCCGCTGCGCCGCCGTGTCGCGTGCAGACGAGCTGACGGAGCCCGAGTCCCCGTGCCAGGGCGACGCGGACGATGTGAGCGAGCTGTGCGGGCAGATGTCCGGCACAGGGCTGCTGGGGCGAGGTCACGACCTCCCCGCGGCTTCCGGCTCCATGCAAGGTGAGGGTGAGTAGAGTGAGAGTGGGGAGGGAGGGAGGGAAGGAGGGAGGGAGGGGAAAATTATTGTGGTCATTGTTGCATTTTGATTGTAAATGTTCATCATGATTCTACAGTGGCAGGATATTTGGTGTAACCATCATCATCATCAGCAGCAGCAGCAGCAAAATCAGTAGCAGCATCGGAAGCAGCAGAATTTGCATAAGTAGCAGCGTCGGCATGATCAAAATAGATTTACCGCGGTACACTCCCGCCCCCCCACCTCCCCCCAACCGTCCGCCCCCACCCCCCCTCTCCCACCACAGCGCACCGCGACGGGCCGCCGTACCCGCTGCCCGGCACCGCCCGCGACAGCCTGGACCACCACCACCAGCGCGCCGTCTCGTGGGGGCCGTCGGCCTCCCTGCCCCACGAGGGCACCGCCGTGGGGCAGCCCCGGCCGCACCACGCGCCGCTGTCGTCGTCGTCGCCGCCGCTGGGCCACCGGCGCACGGCGTCCGAGGCCGAGCGCTGGCTCGACGAGGTCACCAAGGCCGTGGCGGCGCAGGCTCAGCCGGCGCCTGCCGGGGGTCAATCCGTTTGGCGGGGTGGCGGCGCCGGTGCGCTCCCCGTATGCCTCAGCAGCTGCGCTCGCTCATAACGGCACGGTGCCGGCGGCTGGCGCTTACGGATCGGATCTAACGCCGGCGCAGATGGCCGCGAGCCTGTTCTCCCCGCAAGCTGTGTACGCCGTTGGCCCCGCCACGCCGTCCGCGCCGTCGTCGGCGTCGTCGTCGCCATCGTCGTCGGCAGCGCTAGCAGCGGCGGCGGCCGCGTCGCTGCTCCAGCAGCAGCAGCTGCAGCAGCTGCAGCAGCTTTCGCCGCACCATCTCGCTCAACAGCAGCATCAGCAGCACCTTCTTACTCACCTGCAGCACCAGCAGCAGCTGCAGCAGCAGCTGCAGCAGCAGCAGCTTCAGCAACAGCTGCAGCAGCAACAGCATCACCTTCTGACTCACCTGCAGCACCAGCAGCAACAGCTGCACCAGCAGCAGCAGCTGCGTCAACAGCAGCACTTGCAGCAGCAGCAGCAGCACCTGCTGCAGCACGGACAGGCACCGGAGTCGCCGCAGCTTGGCGGGTCGCTGCCCCCGTCGCCGCTGCTCCAGCCGCGGTTGCACCAGGCTCATAACGGCGGCGCTCGGTCGCCGGCGCACAGCGAGCGCTCACCGGCACACGGCGGGGCTTTCGAGGAGCGGTGGGCGTCAGCCGCACCCGTCGCCGGGACCGCCAATGCCGAAATCGGGGGCAAAATGTACCCGCCAGAACCCGGGCCGCCTTGCTCCCCGGCGACCACCAACCCGTTTCATCGGTGACCGCGACAGGAAAACGAAATCTGCCGATCGAAAAGAGGGTCCGTGGCGTTCGCTTGAATGGGGGAGGAGGTGGCCGAGACGACAGAGGGCCGTTTTCCGTGGGATCCGTGAGGTCGGGCGTGGCGCTTCGATAGGGCCGCCATGTCCCCGCGCCTGCGCGCGTGCAGTGTGCGAAAACGTCGGCAAGTGTCGTGGGAAGGAGGATGCGAAGAACGCCTTTGTCTCGGGCGTTTGCAGTATTTTTTTTAATCATCGTTATTACGATGGTTTTTGTTACGCAGCTGACAAAAACAATGGGGTATTTTAATTGTCGTACCGGGAAGACTTAAAGATGTCTCCAACGAGAGAAGCATCCTGGGATAATCAGGGCGGGTGGCGAACCCCATTCTTCAATGATAACTGGACGGCCTATTTTAGCGTGGGTGTCTGCGAGTCGTGTTGTGATGTCATTGGCTCTCCACGTTCGATTGGGCAAGCTGGAGCCAGGTGACCGGAAGGGGCGTGGCTCTTGTCCAGTCACATGATGTTCGCGACCGCCTTGTGATTGGCCGCAGATACGAGTAAAAATGGCGGCCAGTGCACTCTTAGGTAGGAACCTAAGAACCCCTGATGACGAAGACGCCATGAGACCATCGGAAGGGTTAGAATCACAATGTGGGTGACCACTCGGTCGGTCGGTCAGGCTCGCTTGGTCGTTGGCAACAGATCGATTCTAGAATCTCATCGAGGTGTTTCTTGAAGAGCCCCAGTGAGAATCGGCCACCACCACCACCGTCACATGTCGCGTGGGCAGATGGTTCCAGACTCCCTCCCGGCCAATCTCTCCCGAACTTTCCCGCACACAGCCTCCCGCCCCAGGCCTCTGCTTCTCGTCTCTGTGCTGAGCGTCAGCTGTGTGTGTGTTGTAGCCCGACAGTGTGGACAAGGCAACGTGCTCGGATTATTCTCTGCTTCTGTTTGTGCTCGTCGGCAGCTCTGTCACGTGCGGCTCTCATCGTCGGGCTAAGTTCATCTTCAACGCGTATGCACGCGCACACACACAACTCAACTGGGCAGTGGTGGTGGATACTACGCATGCGACGGCCTGCAATCCGGCTCTGTGGAGGTCACAGCGAGGGTCGGTGGGATCACCGCGCAGACGCTGCGAGAATCAATTCCCTTCCAGTGATCATCGAGGAGGCGGACCCCTGGCTCGCCAGGAGAAGGCAGTTACGCGGCAGATATGTGGGCAAGAGTGTTCATTTGGCTTACGACAACTTTTGGAGAGGAAAAAAATACCGAAATGCGGAATCATTAACCCGGCGTGGCTAATTTTATTTGTGTGCAACTTCCTGCCACCGCGATGATTGCGCCACCGCGTAGCCGCTTATTGAATAGTTAATTACGATGACGATAATAAATGAAAGGTTCAGAATAAATTTTATTTTATTTTTTTGTACGCTCTGCACAGGGTCACGCACGAGCCTCAAAGCTTCGGCTTTCGACGCCAAGACGGAAGAAGAAAACAAAAGATGTCCTTACTTGAACGAACGCGTCTCTCTCGCTATCCGTTACGCGCGTCGGGCCGTGCCTCGCGTTGTTCGGCACGATGTCCGACGTTTCGCTCCACGTGCCGGGAGCTCCGTCAGGAGAGCTATGCAGCCGAGAGCGCGCGAAAACCTGCGCGGTAGAACGAACGCTTTCCTTCGTTTGCGCCGATGAAGTTTGGCAGTGAAGATGCGCCGAAGCCGGGAGGGGGAGCAGGAGGAAAAGGAGAATGAAGCAGCAGGGAGGATGAGTGAGTGAATGAGTGGTGATTGCGATGGATGCAGAGCCCTTCTTCTGGAATCAAACTCTCACTTGTGTCAGAGCTTCTTCACAGGCGAGATTTTAACACGCAGCCCACGCTTCAAATCCACGCGGCCAAACAGGCTGAGCCGCTGGTTCAGTCTCCCCAGGATGCAGCTTGTGTGCGTGTGTGCAAACACGCGTCGTGAACTGTCGCATCGATGAATCGGGCACAGCAATCGCTCATGGTACCAATGCTTCGAGTCGTATGCCATTAGAATTCTCTCCTCGTATGCATTTTGCTTGATCCGTGCAATCTCGGTGTTTAGTTTCCGCAAGCGGGTGTTGTTGGGTGGTTTTTTTGTTGTTGTCACTTTACGCTTCACCCAGCAGTGGATTGATCACGGCTCACGATGCTCGATGCCGAGAGCCCCCTGGGCACCCTTCCACGGCGCAGTTTCAACTAACAAGGGTCCTGCCAAAGGACCCGTGCGTGGGCTGTCACATCCACGCTTCTGATCTCCCTCGATCCCATTCCTGGTCGATGCACGTACGCGCGTGCGTGCCTACGCGTGACAATTGATTGAGTCGGCGGTTCGTACCTCATCCTACGATCCCATCGACGCGGGTTCGACTCCCAGACATGTAACGTTTTGGCAAGCAGTATTTGAAATCTGTGCTAGATCTCCCCTATGGCTGATTCAGCCTCAAATGAATATCTGCTTCTAGATTTGAAGCTTTCGTGACTGCAAGGATTCATACTCTTAGGTTTTTTCGGTTAAGTCACGTAGGTAAAAATAAATAATAATAAAATAGAAATAATAATAATAGAAATAAAATAATAAATCACCTCTTTACTTGATACAGCAATTTTGCTGTGACGGTTTCACCTGAAGACGGAAGCTTGTGTTGCCTCCGAAACGCCGTGATTTATTATTTTATTTCTATTATTATTTGTATTATTTATTAATATTTATTATTCTTTATTTTTACCGTACGCGACTTTACCGAAAAAAACCTAAGAGTATGAGTATCTGCTGCGATGTGCTAAACATCGGCACTGGGGAGACAAAGGTGGTTGGGGCATGGTGCTGGCCACACCACCTTTTCGTGTGCCGCGCCAGCCTTAATAGGTGCTCGCTAACATCACGTTCCCCGACAGGCTGTTGTGCTAAAAGGGGAAATATTGGCATGTATGTATTTTGCTGTATGTGCATAGGTACGCGATACAAATCCAGGGTCTCCCCTAGGTCGACTCAGCCTAACACGATGGCATTGTGCGTTGTGGTTCACGTTGGCCCTGCGGAAACAAAGGCGTGCAGGCGTGCACGGTACTGGCCCGCCACCCCGGTCGCGTGCCGTGCTGGCCTTAATAGGTGCTCGCAAACAGCGCTATACAAATACGCGAGGGATGATTCGACGTCTCTTTTCGCGTGCGTATGTATATAAGTTGCTGAGTGTATGTCGGTGTGTACGTACGTATTGAGGAACGGCGGTGCAGTGGTTAGCGCGCCGTGCCACGGACCCGGCGACCCGGGTTTGATTCCCTTTCACGACCGCCAACAGCGGCGTTTATTTGAACCGGTCCTGGGCCTCCCTTAGGTCGACTTGGCCTGAAATGAGCACCTGTTGCGGCGGCCGGGCGTGGTGCCAGCCACCCACCCCCTCGTGTGCCGTGCCGGCCTTCATAGGTGCTGCTCGCTAACAGCACTTGCCCTCAAGAGTCCGTTGTGTTGGAACAGACCAAAACGCGCTGCCTTTTAACGGGAAGCGATGGAAGGCGGCCGGGCATGTTCGCGAATGTCGCTCGTGACCGACGTATTTTCAGACTGCGCTTCATCACAGACGAACCCACTTCTTGGTCTTTCACGTGTACGTTTACATATGAATGTTCGGACAGCATATTTGTGTGTACGTATGTATATATGTGCGTGAGTGTGTGTGTATAATACATGTGTATTGACCCAGCAATTGTGTCACGTGGTGGCTTTTCTCAGTCAAGTTGTGACCAGGTGGGTACCTGCAGCCAGTCACACAAAGATAAAGATCCCCCGTATAGCCTTAACAGACTGTAGGGGCAAGTGCTGTTAGCGAGCACCTATGAAGGCTGGAACGGTACACGAGGGGGTGGGTGGCCAGCACCACGCCCGACCGCCTTTGTCTCCCTAGCGGCGATGTTTACACCGCACCAGGTACTCATTTGAGGCTGAGTCGACCTAGGGGAGGCCCAGGACCGGTTCAGATAATCGTCACTGGTTTTGGCCGTGAGCGGGAATCGAACCCGGGTCGCAGGGTTCGTAGCGTAGCGCGCTAACCGCTACACCGCCGCTCCCCCAAACACACTCACACACACACTCTCAAAATCAGACGCATCGCACACTCATCCTCACACTGAGACACACACTCTCACAGACACACTAATGGTTTGCCGTCGCACGCACCGGCACATCTACACAAATGGTCGTGGTTTGCAGCTCCGGGTTCCATAGTTTGCAAACTCCGCTCCGGGTTTTCCCAGTCTCAGGTGGATTCCTTGAGTAAAGGGAATGCCGCAGGTGGCCGGGTGGCTCCGAGGTCAGAGGTCAAGAGACACTGAACTGGCACCGCTGAGATCCTGGGCAGTTTGTCAACGTCCTTTGTGATTTTGTCTTCGGATCTAGCGGCCGCGTGGGATGAGGACATGATGCAGATGTAGGAGCGATTCCAGAGTTGTACAAAGCATTCTGAATCGGCCTACAGCACTCCATGTGATACTTCGTAACATGCCTGGTGACTATAGTAGTAGGTTTTTACCCTTTTAAACTGGTACACAACTGACACCTTTATACAAGGCATCATGTTTGCAATAACCACAACACAAGTAGTCAAAAAAGCAAACAAAAAGAAGCAACTCTGATAATGATAATAATATGCACTGTCCTTGAAGTTGATTGGCCCACACCCGAGACGGCTTTCTTTAGAGCCTAGTCCCAATTGGTGTTGGACCAGATGACACCAGAAGGCGTACAACTCAAACACAGTGCAATATCAGAGTATTGAGAGCTCGGGGTAAGCATTTACACTATGAGATCTCTTTTACCAGTGGCAAAATATAGTAGTAGGTTTTGCCTGGTGACATTCATTGACGGGGCTTTGGAAGCTCTGTGTAGCGCCATCTAGTGACTTGCTCGCGTCCGTCGAACGCGGTGTTCTTCATTGCAAGGCACGCGGGTCACTGGCGGTCCCCACCGACAATACAGAAACAGTGACAACACCCCCATGATCTTCTTGGTTCTTTCGGTAAAGTCACGTAGAAGGGAAGTAATAAAATAATAAAAATAAAACATAATAAAATATTACTATGTTTTATTTTTATTATAAATAAAACAATAAAATATTATGTTTTATTTTTATTATAAATAAAACAATAAAATATTATTATGTTTTATTTTTATTATAAATAAAACATAATGAGATATTATTATGTTTTATTTTTATTATTTTATTACTTCCCTTCTACGTGACTTTAAAACATAATAAAATATTATTATGATAAAATATTATTATGTTTTATTTTTATTATTTTATTACTTCCCTTCTACGTGACTTTACCGAAAGAACCAAGAAGATGAATCCCTGCAGTCACGAAAGCTTTAAATCGAAATTTAACCCCCATGATCATCGTGCTGCTGTCAAACCCCAATGGTTTCAAATGTGTGGCGGCCCTGACGATGATGATCGGCGAAAGTGGGCCCCCCCCCTCTGCAAATGAGTGAAGAACTCTGGTCGAGTGACTATTCACTTGAAGTAGTTGGTAGCTTTGATCCTGGCTACCAATCCGGCATTCAGCTGCCCAACTGTGATGGGTGACCCGGCTGAGACCACCAACTCACTGCAACTTGAGTACCCGGTTCAATCACGGGCAGCGGCTAAAACCCAGACTGGAACCCAGGTCCCGCAGTGGTGCAGGCGTTGACCGACCTCTTGATAGATCTTGATGTGAAGCTTTCGTGACTGCAGGAATCCATACTCTTTGGTTCTTTCGGTAAAGTCACAAAGATAAAGCATGGTCTGCTGCTGATGCAGACTGTTAAAACAGTCTGCATCAGCAGCAGACCATGCTTTCCCACCTGATGACGGACGCTTGTGTTGCGCCCGAAACGTCGTGATTTATTTTATTTTATACCTACGTGACTTTACCGAAACTCTTGATATATTTTTTTCGAAGGGAATGTTACACGCGCAGGTAAGTGTGTCATTTCATTCCCATTGTGGTGAACATTCCAAGCGATGTGCGTGTCTTCTTCACGTTTGAGTACAATTTATATTTAGACGTGCACGAACACATATCCTGTGACGACGATGCGATATCATTTCACGACACGGGTCATTTCCAGTTGTGTGTTTTTTTTCCTCGCGCTTTAATCAACATATCCGGTGCGTATGAAAGCAATTGATAATTGTTCATTCATGAGCACTGAAGGGAATATACACGGAGAGTTGATACTACGATCAGGCCGTGCGACACGGCACGGAGGTACACGAATCGCGCTGCACGGCGATGCGAGCTGAGATTACTAAAGTAAAAAGCGAACTACGAGACATCTCCTTTACCAGTGGCAAAATATAGTAATAGGTTTTTACTCTTTCAACTGGTACAAAAACTGACACCTTTATACAAGGGATCATGTTTGCAATAACCACAACACAAGCAGTCAAAATGCAAACAAAAAGAAACACGCCTTTTGGCGTCATCTGGTCCAACACCAATGGAGACTAGGCTCTAAGAAAAGCTGTCTCGGTGTGGACCAATCAACTTCAAGGACAGTGCATATCATTATCATTATCAGAGTTGTTTCTTTTTGTTTGCATTGACTGCTTGTGTTGTGGTTATTGCAAACATGAGCCCTTGTATAAAGGTGTCAGTTTTTGTACCAGTTGAAAGGGCAAAAAACTATTACTATTAAAAGCTAACTAGTTTTCTTTTACCAGGTAAGGCCCACTGAGTTATATTTTAGCTGTTTTTCAGAAGCCATCTGGCCATCACAAATGATAGCTCTTACAAAGTGGCTTATCATCAACGTGGAAATTTATAGCAGCCAAATACTCGAAACGCACGGTTGATTCTAAATGTTGAGGTAAAAAAACCGGAGGACCCGGAGAAAAATCCACGCGACCTACGGGGAAAATCACTTGCAAACTCCAAATATACAACAGGCATTGCAGGGGCCAGGATCGTACCCACGACCTCCTGTATACAAGGCGAGGTAGGTAACATCTTGCCACCGCTTGCACCCAGCGACCCCTACGTGAGCGCCGGTAGGGGCTGATCAAAGAAGGCGTCGATCATCGGGATCTCCTCCGCGTGGGTCCTCACCAGGCCTCGTCCCGTCCCTCGCTGCTCCGTGCCTTCGCCCTGCCCGTATCGTCTCGTCCTCATCCTCTTCCTCCTCCTCCTCCTGCTCGTCATTGTCGTAGCCCTCCTCATCGCACCGTTCTTACTTGTCCAGGAGTCCAGCTCGCTGTCATCGGAGCTTTGGAGTTCACGGATCGGGACGCCGTGGAGTCTGACCCCTGCGACCTCTGGTTCATCTGGGACCCGGGTCACGAGGCCTGTGGTGTGTGTGTGTGGAGTTCACGCAAGTTAGTTCGCATGAGTTGTTTCGCGCAAGTTGACCGAGCACCATCACCGCTGGGACGCGCGCCACACCACCGTTTGTCAGGAGCGGTGGCACAGTGGTTAGAGCACTGTGCTTCGAACCCGGCGAAGTGAGTTTGATTCCTACTCACGACCAACAACACCAATGACGATTTATCTGAACAGGTCCTGGGCCTCCTCCAGGTTGACTCGGCCTCAAATAAGTATCCGGTGTGGTGTGTAAACATCGCCACTGGGGAGACAAAGGTCACGCGTGGCGCTGGCCACCCACCCCCTTCATGTGCCGTGCCGGCCTGCATAGGTGCTAATCGCTAACAGCACTTGCACAAAAAGTTAAATGGGGGAATCTTTGTCTTGCTCCACGAATAAGGCACGTCTTATAAAACTAGCGTTACTTTCAGAATTATCTCCATAGAACGATCTGTTTGTGCGCTTTGCGAATGTACCAATGGCTGTGAGGCTGCCCGGCTTGCGGTTGTCCCTCTGAGTCGGTTAACCAAAGGCCTTGCTGAGTCTCAAGACACACTCAGAGGGTGCTTCTGCTCACCGCCGAGATTGGAGACGGGGCCGCGTTGACCCTGCCTGCTCGGGGCCTCGTGTGGCGTCGAGCTCGGGGCCGAGGGCAGCGGCTCCTCCTGAAGTCGCTATGGAGAAATTTTGATGGGACGCATGAGGAATAAACCAACGAAATTACGGTCATCCTCGCAGAGGCTTTTAGCTCAGCCATCGAACAAAGGCAGTCACTGCATCACGCGCTTTCGGGTGCGCTTCCGCAGCCGTCTGGAACGCTGTTCATTTCCTTTATTAGACATCCACTGGAGCTAAGCACTTTCAAATCATCCAAATTGAAAACTAGAATTACTTTTTGTGTTTAATTTGTTGTCCTTCCCCCGCACCTCCGATGCGCACGGTTGCCTACATACTGCGCGAAAAGAAGTTCAACATACATACAGGCACACCATGACACAGAAACCGATTACTTAAATGATCAGATATATCCCATCTGTATCAGTTACGTTCCTGAGAGGTGCGACGACGAATACTTAAACGATGTAAATCAAAGGCAGTGATGTAAATGTGGAGTCGAGGCGACGAAAATCAGGTAGTGGTATTAATAATGAAGTGAAATAATAAAATAATAAAATATATAGAAACTAAAATTCTCACGACGTTTCGACTGCAACACAAGCAATCATCATCAGGTGTGAAATCCACAGCAAGAAAAAAATACTTTTTTCTAATTTTCTAATGTTCTTGCTGTGGATTTCACACCTGATGATTGCTTGTGTTGCAGTCGAAACGTCGTGAGAATTTGTATTGTTTTATATTTTATTATTTTATTATTTCCCTTCTACGTGACTTTACCGAAAGAACCAAGAATCCCTGCAGTCACGAAAGCTTTAAATCAAAAGTGATGATGTATTTCGGAAACGACATAAAAGGGGGAGATGTAAATCAGGGGCATTACCGTACTTAATCGGATATGCCATTTAGTGAAGTTATGCATATATAATCTTAAAGTTGTACGTAGGTCACAACCAGAGCCGGCCCAGCCACTAAGCGACCCTTGCAATTGCAAAGGGCCCCGTGGCCAGCAGAGGGCCCCCTAGAGTCACTGCTAGCGAGTGGGTGAAAAAAATCATACATCAAAGGGGCCTCCAACCAAATTTTGCTTAGGGCCCCCAAAGGTCTAGGGCCGGTTCTGGTCACAACCCATACGGTACAACGCAAACGAGAATCTGTTATTGCAATCCAAGACAGGTTTGATTTCATCCCCCCGGCGTGGCAGTTGCAACAATTGGGCCAATTTTTTCTGATTCTCTCCGCCTCTGTCCACCCAGCAGCATGAATCGGTAGACGTACAACAGTCCGTCGATGGGTGGGGTAAAGCGTGGGTATTAATTCTAGATTTGAAGCTTTCGTGACTGCAAGGATTCATCTTCTTGGTTCTTTCGGTAAAGTCACGTAGAATGGAAATAATAAAGTAATAAAATAAAACATAATAAAATAATTCTCACGACGTTTCGGCCACAACGCAAGCAGCCGTCCTCAGGTGGAGAACAGGTCTGTCGAGAAGAACAGGTCTGTCGAGAAGACAGACCTGTTCTCCACCTGAGGACGGCTGCTGGCGTTGTGGCCGAAACGTCGTGAGAATTGTATTTGATAATGTTTTATTTTTATTATTTTATTATTTCCATTCTACGTGACTTTACCGAAAGAACCAAGAAGATGAAGTGATGCACCAAACAGGAAATGGCGTCGTCACCGAAAGGCGAGAACAGTTCATTGCTAGGGAAGCATCTCAAATCGAAAATGGTGGTCGATTGTTGTTGTTGTTGTTTGTGTTTATTACCTGGACGAGGCGAGGCGGGTGAGCGTGAATGATGCTGCTGCTGCTGCAAGCTTTTGTGGAGGTTTCGCCAGCCGGAGCAATCGCTACCACTGCATTTGCTCACAAAGACAAACAGAAAGAGAGAATATTGCTGCAGATTGTTAAACGAGAGACGAGAAGCCAGACAGGCAGACCGAGTCTTTGATGGAGTCTCAATGATAGACCGGCCTCTGATGGAGTGGCTCGTCAATGACGGATAGACCGGTTTTTGACGGGGTCTCCGATGGTGTGTCGACGAGACAAGATTGACAAACTGTGTCTCTGGTGGAGTGTCTAGGCCAGGGGTTGGAAACCTGCAGATTTTTAAGGACCGTCTTGTTTTCAAATGCATTGCAGCCCTTGAAATATTAAAAAAAAAACAAATTGACTCTTTCAGTAAAGCCATGTGGATAGAACACGTAATCAAAATAATAATTCCACGAAGTTTCTATCGCAACACAAGCAATTGTCATCAGGTGAAAAAATATAGCGGCAGAGCTGCTGAGAATATATGGTGGGAGCGCTGCTAAGGCAGGGAGGGAGTTATGAAGGTTTTATCCAAAGACCCAAATGATATTAATTCCTGCAGTCACGAAAGCTTTAAGTAAAATTGACTCGTTTGTTATTTTGGTTGCCCGCCCCCTGGGCGAGGCAATAGACTGAAAGACAAACACATAAATAGACACGTAAATAGACACATTATTGGTTCTTTCGGTAAAGTCACGTAGAAGGGAAATAATCAAAATAATAATAAAAAAACGTCACTTTTCAACATTTTCTTGCTGTGGTTTTCACACCTGATGATGATTGCTTGTGTTGCAATCGAAACGTCGTGAGACTTTTATTGTTATATTTTTATTAGTTGATTAATTCCCTTCTACGTGACTTTACCGAAAGAACCAAGAATATAAATCCCTGCAGTCACGAAAGCTTTAAATCGAAACATAAATATACACACACATTCATAGACACCTCACCACGCACACAGACTGTTGGGGCAAGTGACGTTAGCGAGCGCCTATTAAGGCATGCCAAACACCACGCCGGCCACCTTTGTCTCCCCACCAGATACTCGTTTGAGGCTGAGTCGACCTAGGAGAGACATGCATGCCACACAATCTCTCTCACCTGCACCAAAGCTTCGCGGGAGCAGTCGGGGCAAAGATGGCAGAGATCGGGGGCCCGCGTGTCGCGTGGTCCCCTCCATCCCTCGGGGAGCCCTGACCCTGGGCAGCTCGGCTCGGGGGTCCCCGGCCAGCACCCCAGGAGGTCCCCACGCCGCTGAGACCCCAGTCGGCCGGACCCCCACGGCGGCAGTGGCGGCGTGTCCGGGCGAAAAGGGGATGCGGGTGCGTTCGAAGGGTCCCGTTTTGGGGGTCGTCGCGGGGTCCCCAGTCGCTGCCGCTGGGGGGAGTTGGGATACGGCGATGCGACGGATCCTGGTTCGGGGGTTCGAGCTCCCTGCTCCCATTTCACCTCTGGTCCGTCCACCTCCCGTCCTCCGCTCAACCCGCAACTCAATCCTCTGTCCGTGCCTCGATCGGCGAGATACACAGAGGGCCTTCAGCCCCCCACGACCGAATTGATCCCCGAAGCCCGCCGCCTATAATTCACCCTCTAGTCCACCTCAACTCAACCCTCGGTGAGGAGCTCTCGTGGTGATAGTGAGACGAGGAGGAGATGAGGAGGAGAGGCTTCCTCGCCGGACCTCGTGGAGACCCCGAGGTCAAGCTGGGGAACGGGGAGCGGTACATCGTGAGCGGTGTTACTGGCAGCAGCATCATCGTCACCATCATCATCATTCATCTCGGTTGAAAATCATGTTTGAAGGCATAGTATGTGTCACCCGCAGCATCGTGATAAACAAACAAACTAAATACAACGCACTGCTCCGTCGTGGAGGTGCAAGATCCAGTGACGTCATTTGCAAGAGCAGGCCATCGTGCAACTCCAGCGTCATGGTCCGAGTTTAACAAAAATTGCATCGAAAATGACCCCATACTTGATTGGAAACAACGTAACAAACCATCGCCTCCCCAGTCCACCCCACCACACTCTGCCTAGTTGTAAAAACTTGACAGGACTCTCCTGAAAAGGTGTCATGAGACTCAGGATTTCTTTTGTAAATCGGCGTAATCATAATAGTACCAACAAGACCAAGCAATCATGCCGCTGCCATCATCTTGTATGATCCTCATCACAACTGGTAGCTATTTATGACTCTTGTATCATAACTCTTGCTTCAACATCATCACTCATATCAAGATCATATAGTTGTTGTTTTACCAGGTAAGAGGCCTCACAGAAGCGACCTGGCAATCACAAATGATAGCTCAACGAAGTGACTTATCGTGTCGAAATTTACGGCGGTCAAATACTCTAAACGCGTGTTTGTAAATGTGGAGGGGGAAATCGGAGGACCCGGAGAAAAATCTCCGCGCCCACGGGGAGAGAGACACCGCAAAGTCCAAATAGCAAGCGTCAGGGTCGGGATTGAACCCACGACCAGACGAGGGAGTTAACACCTCGCCACCGTGGCAATGGCATACGCAATGGCGTACTTACTGGTGTACCATCAACCCCCATCTCCAACAGGCCGATGCGCACATCGTGGGAAACTAAAGACACGAGCCACAGTGGTGCGATTGTGGTCATGCAGCCAAAACTCCGGACAGCACAGGGAACCCGCTGATAGTCTGCGTTCCTTCAGCAGAGGAGGAGGAACATCAACGCGACACGAACTCTCTCCTGAAGCCATCTCGTCACGGCCAGCAGCAAGACCTCGACATTTAGCCCCTGAACATGCGGTGTTGCCATCGTGCGCAATAATATGATGTTACATTTAGAATCAGAATCTTTTTTACGGTGGAAAGCTTTTGCCGCTCATCTACAGCTTGGTTCCCTCCATTCACTCTTTCCCCTCTTCATGTCCCTATGAGACCAAAACACAGAGTTGACTTTCACCTGCGCTCAACTCCGATTAGCTCTGCATCCAATGTCCTTGTCCTTCCCCCGCACCTCCGATGAGCACGGTTGGCTACGTAGGGTGCGAAAGAAGTTCAACATACACACACACAGAGACCCATAGACTCACATAGAGACCCATAGACTCACACAGAGACCCATAGACTCACACAGAGACCCACATACTCACACAGACTCACACAGAGAACCACAGACTCACATAGACATCCACATACTCACACAGACCCACAGACTCACACAGAGACCCACATACTCACAGAGACCCACAAACTCACAGAGTCCCATAGACTCACAGAAACCCATAGACTCACACAGAGACCCACAGACACACACGGAGACCAATAGACTCACACAGAGACCCATAAACTCACACAGAGACCCATAGACTCACACAGAGACCGATAGACTCACACAGAGACCCATAGACTAACACAGAGACCCATAGACTCACACAGAGACCCATATACTCACACAGAGACACATAGACTCACACAGAGACACATAGACTCACACAGAGACCCATAGACTCACACAGAGCCCAATAGACTCACACAGAGACCCATAGACTCACACAGAGACCCATAGACTCACACAGAGACCCATAGACTCACACAGAGACACATAGACTCACACAGAGACCCATAGACTCACACAGAGCCCCATAGACTCACACAGAGCCCCATAGACTCACACAGAGCCCCATAGACTCACATAGAGACCCATAGACTCACACAGAGACCCATAGTTTGTTCCTCTTCCCCCGCACCTCCAATTATCACGATGGGCTACGAAAGGATGCGCCAGAAAGTTCAACATAGTCGACTCAGCCTTAAATGCGTCACCTGGTACGGTACGCATCCGTGTGTGTGTGTTACCATGTGCATTTGTATGTGTGTGAGTGTGCACAGCATACATGAGCATTCTTACCATGAAGCTCGCTTGATTGACCCTCGGGAGAGGTGCTAGTTACGGTTGGATATCCGTCTGGAGAGAGAAAACGACCGCTCACCGTGCGTGGAGATGCGAAAGGGCGCAAGGCACGCGGCTCCCGTGCCAAAGGCAAATTAATGATTTCCTAAATTCCACGCGGGGTTATTACAGTCGCTCTTGGCGGAACCGATCCTGCAAACCAACCCCCAACTCCACACATGACTCAGAATGCAGAGACAAAGATCGACCCCCCCCACCCCCCCCGGTACAGCCGAACAGATTGTTGGATGCAGGTGCTGTTAGCGAGCACCTATGAAGGCCGGCCACGGTGGCGCACAAGAGGGGGTGTGTGGCTTGCACCACGCCCGGCCGCCTTTGTCTCATTTGAGGCTGAGTCGATCTAGGGGAGGCCCATGACCGGTTCAGATAATCGTCACTGGTGGTGGCCGTGAGAGGGAATTGAACTCGGGTGGCCGGGTGCGTTGCGTAGCGCGCTAACCGCTGCACCACCGCTCCACACGACACATTAATACACAAACACGCACCAACATACTCAAAGGTTATTCATTAACGAATGTTCCAATATTCACACGAAGCAAACCAAAGCAGCTCTTATACTAATAGAAACCTCCTGGTTACACCAACCCACAGGGGATTATTGTGTTCGTCCGTCCGTCGTGCAAGGAGGGGCTGGGTGGGGAGGGAGGGGCTGGGTGGGGAGGGGAGGGAGGGGTTGGGTGGGGAAATGAGGATGGGGAGGGGCTGGGTGGGGAGGGTGGGGTGGGGAGGGAGGGGTTGGGTGGGGAGGGTGGGGCTGGGTGGGGGTTGGGGTGGGGTTGGGTGGGGAGGGAGGGGCTGGGTGGGGAGGGTTGGGCTGGGTGGGTAGGGGCTGGTCACCCCGTGGTGCCCTTATAAAACTCAACGTTTAACCTACTCACGCCGGCTTGTGCCCGCCTTCACAGTCGGGCATATTTGCAGAATACACCACGCCGCCGTTGACCCTGCAGGCCATTGACCGAGCAACTCAATGTTCCTACCAGCTCCCTCCGCAGCAGGAATGTGTTTATTACACGTTGGGCCGTACCATTGTGCGTGGGAGCCAGGAGGAGGCGCTGTGGTTGGTGAGGAATTCGAGCCAGGGGTTGGCAACCTGAGGCTCTGGACCCGAATGCGGCTCTTTAAAGGGCTACTTCTTGACGTATCGTATTGCCCACACAGTGCATTGGTACGGCTCTTGAAATATTTAGTTTTTTTTACCGAATTATATATTTTTTTAAATTGTCTCTTATTCTTATTTTCGTTTGCTCACCCCTGGAATTGGGTCAATGTCAAATGTACCATACCTGTCAACCCCTTATCAGTGCCCTGCTTTAAGGGTTTGCAGACCAATTCAGACCTTACTGGTCACCCCGTGCCCCTTAAAAATCTCAACGTTCATCCTACAAAGTCCCATAACGAGGTGTTAGCACAAACAAATAGACAACAACTTTTTTGTTGCCCCTATCGAAACGGCTGTACACCGTATGGACCTCAAAACTCAATTTCCCCGTACAATCCATACGGGGGTTAAACCGTACGGGGTTTGGCAGCTCTGCTGTACGATATTAAACATCTTCTTGGTTCTTTCGGTAAAGTCACGTAGAAGGGAAGTAATAAAATAATAAAAATATAACATAATAAAATACAATTATCACAATTTGTATTTTATTATGTTTTATTTTACAATTCTCACAATTTGTATTTTATTATGTTTTATAATTATTATTTTATTATTTCCCTTCTACGTGACTTTACCTAAAGAACCAAGAAGATTAATCCCTGCAGTCACGAAAGCTTTAAATCGAAATATTAAACATCACCGGCATGCCCATATAAGGAGAGACCGACATCACCCGTGACGTCACCGTCGCGAGGGAAATCCCCGTTGCTAGGGGCAGTTCCCCAGGCCCAACGGGCATGGAGTCTTTCCGCCTCCAACAACAACAACAACACCACCATCATCATCAGCCTCATCATCAATATTGTTGTTGTTGTTGCTGACGCCGTGTTGTCGACTAGCACAGCGCTCGAGACCCATCGCGTTGTCAATTCCGACCCCCTGCTTGGCTTTACAGGGGCGAGCGTTGAGGCCTGTAGTGTTGTTGTTAGTGGTGGTTGTTGTTGGTGGTGGTTGTTGGTGGTGGCGATGGCGTTGGGCACGGTGAGCCGTGGAGGCGCCATCGCCGCGGGGCTGTGTGGCGCCGTCTTCCTCGCCTACTGCTTCTACTTCGACCACAAGCGACGGAGCGCGCCCGACTTCAAGAGCAAGCTGCGCCTGCGTGAGCCGTGCTAGGCCCAGTGTGGTGTTAACTAGAACCGTGCTAGAGCCGTGCTAGAGCCGTGCTGGGCCCTGTGTGTTGTTAACTAGAGCCGTGCTAGAGCCGTGCTAGGCCGTGTGTGTTGTTAACTAGAGCCGTGCTAGAGCTGTGCTAGTCCCTGTGTGGTGTTAACTAGACCCGTGCTAGGCCCTGTGTGGTGTTAACTAGAACCGTGCTAGAGCCGTGCTAGAGCCGTGCTGGACCCTGTGTGTTGTTAACTAGAACCGTGATAGGCCCTGTGTGTTGTTAACTAGAACCGTGCTAGAGTCGTGCTAGGCCCTGTGTGGTGTTAACTAGACCCGTGCTAGGCCCTGCGTGTTGTTAACTAGACCCGTGCTAGAGCCGTGCTAGGCCCTGCGTGTTGTTAACTAGACCCGTGCTAGAGCCGTGCTCGGTCCTGTGTGTTGTTAACTAGAACCGTGCTAAAGCCGTGCTAGAGCCGTGCTAGGCCCTGTGTGGTGTTAACTAGAACCGTGCTAGGCCCTCTGTGTTGTTAACTAGAGCCGTGCTAGAGCCGTGCTCGGTCCTGTGTGTTGTTAACTAGAACCGTGCTAGAGCCGTGCTCGGTCCTGTGTGTTGTTAACTAGACCCGTGCTAGACCCTGTGTGTTGTTAACTAGAATCGTGCTAGAGCCGTGCTCGGTCCTGTGTGTTGTTAACTAGAACCGTGCTAGAGCCGTGCTCGATCCTGTGTGTTGTTAACTAGAATCGTGCTAGAGCCGTGCTGGGCCCTGTGTGTTGTTAACTAGAACCGTGCTAGAGCCGTGCTCGGCCCTGTGTGGTGTTAACTAGAACCGTGCTAGGCCCTGTGTGGTGTTAACTAGACCCGTGCTAGGCCCTGTGTGGTGTTAACTATAACCGTGCTACATCCGTGCTAGGCCCTGTCTGGTGTTAACTAGACCCGTGCTAGACCCTGTGTGTTGTTAACTAGAATCGTGCTAGAACCGTGCTAGGCCCTGTGTGGTGTTAACTAGACCCGTGCTAGGCCCTCTGTGTTGTTAACTAGAGCCGTGCTAGAGCCGTGCTAGGTCCAGTGTGTTCTTAACTAGAGCCGTGCTAGAGCCGTGCTAGGCCCTGTGTGTTGTTAACTAGAGCCCTGCTAGACCCTGTGTGGTGTTAACGATAGCTGTGCTTGGACATGTGTGTTATTCACTATAGCCGTGCAAGTCCACTTCTTATGACGGCGGTGTTAGACCCTGAGTGTTGTTTACCAGATGGTTTCTAGACCCTTATTCAGCCTCATTTCCTAGTGCAGTGTTGAACAGTACTGTACGAGGCTCAACTTTGTTAAGCCATTTGCGATTATCATGAACTGGCATTGCAGTGTCCAGCCTTGTCTATCCCCTTACATTTCTACGTCAGCGTTTCTAAACATACCCTTTCCGGCCTGTGCGAAACATTAATATTTGTAAACATCATTCCAACAATAATTTAGCTTCCGAGGCCAGATTTCTCGCCACTTTGTGCGTGAGTGTATGTACTGAAAACCCCGGCACAATCAGAGGTGCCGGGGTTTGCCATTGGACGTCGGCTGTTTTCTGTGACTGGTGGATAAATGTAGTTGTTGTTGTTTACAGGGAGGAAACGCGTGCGGCAAAGCCAGGAGCTATCCAACGTGCCCAAGGTTCGGTAAAACAAAACAACAACAGCGGCGGCCATTCGCCACCAAGTGGCGGTGGCGTCACCAGGCTGGGTGCACTTTTTAAGACCACGCGAAGTGTGGAAGGCTCTCTGTTGGCAAGGAGGTCACGGGGAAGACCCAGGGAAGATACTCTTAGGCTTTTTCGGTAAAGTCACGTAGGTAAAAAATATAATTGAAGTAATAATAGAAATAAAGTAAAAAATCACGACGTTTTGGAGGCAACACAAGTCTCCGTCATCAGGTGGGACCGTCACAGCTAAAATTACTGCATCAAGTGAGGAAAAATTCCAAAAGACCAGCCCTTAAATACAAGTTAAGGGGGGAGGGGCTTATCTGAATGTGGTAACCAGGGAATGTCACGTGGGGGTGGTGGGCGGGGCTACAAGAGAAATTGGCCAACGTCGTCATGTTCAAGAGAAAAATCGGTGCACCTCGACCTAAACCGGTGTTGGTTGAGAATCCAAATACAAAAAAGCAGTACTGTTAAACGCTGGGGATGTCAACACTCGGTAAAGTAGAAAAGTACCTGTCAAATAAGATGGTACAAATATGTGTAGTTAAATCTTTTTTTACCAGAGAAGACCCAGGTGTTATGGGTTTACTGCCAGAGGCGACTGAGAGATGCCACCACATGTGCTCCTTGCTGTCACACGTAGTTTAGGAGGCTCATAGTGGCCGGGTCAGAGACGCAGAGACGCTGCAGCAGCGCTGAAGTTTCGAGGCTTTGAATCCGGGTTTCAGCAGGACAATTGGTGATTAACCTGGTTTCTCATGCGTGGTGAGCTCATGGTCTCAGCTTGGTCGCCAGTGACCGCACAAACACAAAAAACTCACGAGTTCCATTTTTCAATTTCGCTAAATTCCAGCGTCTGGAAAGTTAAACGTTTTATCTTGAATTGCCATGCAACGAACACTCTCTAAAGGGCACATAGAACGCGTAGCATCCAACGTGTGGATAGAGACCAATTGAAGTAACTTCAGATGTAGCTCGTTGTTATCATCTTCCGGTGGCCTTTCTCTTGACGCAAGGTGGTGGTTGCCCTGCTAGCTGCAAACGAGCTGAATATAAATGCAGGACAACACGTGGGGAGATACGTGGACGTCCACTGCTGGAGCTAGGCAGGTTGTTGTTACCGCGAGAACTTAAAAGGTGGCCTTGATCCAGCAGTGGATATCTATATATTTGGAGTTTGCATGTTCTCCCCGTGGTCGTGTACATTTTTATCAGGGTCCTCTGGTTTATCCCTCCACATTTAGAAACAACTTGCATTTCGAGTATTTGGCTGCTATAAATGTCCACGTGATAAGCCACTTGGTTGAGCCATCATTTGCGATAACCAGGTTTCTTCTGAAATAGAGCTATAAAGCTCAGTTGGCCTCACCTGGTAAAATACAAAAAACGTAGTTTTTAGCTCCTCTGTATCTGTGTGTGTGTGTTCACGGACACTGTACAGCTGCCTGACATGAAGGACCCTGAAGCTGTCCAGAAGTTCTTCCTGGAAGAGGTGCAGCTCGGAGAGGAGTTGCTCACACAAGGTTCGTAACTCGCTCACGATCCACTCGTGAAACAAATAACCTTGCACCCTTTTTCTTCTTGGTTCTTTCGGTAAAGTCACATAGAAGGGAAATAATAAAGTAATAAAAATTAAACATAATAAAATACGTTTCTCACGACGTTTCGGCCACTGTTCATTCAGACGCTGTCTTTCCGACAGCCCGGTTCTTCACCTGAGGACGGCTGCTTGCGTTGTGGCCGAAACGTTGTGAGAATTGTATTTTATTATGTTTTATTTTTATTATTTTATTATTTCCCTTCTACGTGACTTTACCGAAAGAACCAAGAAGATGAATCCCTGCAGTCACGAAAGCTTTAAATCGAAACCTTACACCCGTGGCCAAACGGCGGGAAGGGGAGTGGAGTCAAGTACATAATGGCAGAAGAGAAGGGGGAGAAGGAAGGCTGACACGGAAGTCCGCAAGAAGGACAACAAGGAGAGCACGGCTCAAGATGAGCAGCAGGAAGAGAGATGTAGCGCAGGGGCAGGAAGGGGGGAGAAGGGGGGAGAAGGAATGACCAGACCAAGACGTCGGGGATGATGAGAGGGTGGCGATAATGATGATGATGACCACAAGAGGGGAGGAGGGAAGAAGTAAGCAGCAGAAGACTGAGAAGGGGAGGTGCACGGAGCGGCGTGTGTTTCCGCAGTGGGCGGGGAGAAGTGAGGGATTGCAGTGGTTGGTGGTGGCCACGCCTCACAGGTCACGTGATATACGGGAGGCTTGAGCTGATTTAGACACAGAGATGTGGGTGAAGGTGTTGCCCTGCAATTGCTTGCTCACGACACCGCCGGAGGGAGTGCCTCCACTAGAGGGAGCCCCTGCAGACCGTAGAGTGCAGTGCGCTTTACACTTCACCACTTGTGCACTCATTCAATCATCGCACATTATACAAGCAGAATAAAGCACAACGGATGATGCGATGTGTAACGTGCGCAGTGTTTCACGGACACGGTTGGCCGTAGATCTGAGGCGTCTCTCGAGAGCCGGGCGAAAGAGGTGGTGCCGTTACGGAAGAGGTGCACGTGTCTGTGGGTGGCCCGTGTAGTGTCGTTGTGTGTACGTGTGTTGTATCCATAGGCATGTTTGCACGCGTGTCCGTGAGTACGTGTGTCTACGTGTGTGAGCTGTGCGCACATGTGCCTTTCGATGTCTTGTGTCTGCACACGTGTTTACGTGTGTGTGTACGTGTCTGGTACCCGTGACCTCCTGCCAGCGGGCGTTCGACACTTCACGTGGCCTCAAGGTGCACATGGCCTGACACAAGCGTCGTGGTGACGTCACCGCCACTTAGTGGCGAATGGCGGTTGTTGTTGTTGGTACCTGCACGTGGGGAGCGGTGGTGTACCGGTTAGCGCTACGCTGCGCTACGAACCCGGGTCACCGGGTTCGATTCCCGCTCACGGCCAACACCGGTGACGATTATCTGAACCGGTCCTGGGCCTCCCCTAGGTCGACTCGGCCTCAAATGAGTACCTGGCGCGGTGCGTACACATCGCCACTAGGGAGACAAAGATGACCGGGCGTGGTGCTGGCCACCAAACGCTCTCGTTTGCCATCCAGCCCTTCATAGGTGCTCGCTAACAACACTTGCCCCAACAGTCTGTTAAGGCTATTCGGGGGGTTTTTGTCTTTGTGCTTGCACATTTGTACATGAGTGCGAGCGTGTGAGCGTGCCTGCGTTGCTGCGCGTGTTGCGTTGTGCCTCCCCAGGTGAGTTGGAGCAAGCGGTGCAGCACCTGACGAACGCCGTGGCCGTCTGCAATAAGCCGCTGCAGCTGATGCAGGTGCTGCAGCAGACGCTGTCGCCCTCCGTCTTCCAAATGCTGCTGCAGAACCTGCCCATGACCGGCTCGGTATCACCCGCACGCAACACGTGGGCGCACGCACAAAGACAAAGATTCCCCCCCCCCCGTGTAGCCTTGAACAGACTGCTGGGGCAAGTGCTGTTATCGAGTAGCACCTATGGAGGCCGACACGGCACACGAAAGGGGTTGGTGTGGCCAGCGCTACGCCCGGCCGCCTTTGTCTCCCCAGTGTTGATGTTTAACGCAGCGCATCGGCTCGTGACGTAATCAACTCTGAATTGCAAAGTTATGGGAAACTGCTCTCCAGATCGTCACGCCGTGTGAAATTTAAACTCGTGTCGTATCGTTCTCGCGAAAACTGATATCTTGGCAAACCGCGCCTCTGTATGCAAGTTCGTACGTTGGACTTTGCCAACCGCGCTGATCGTAGGTGCCTCTGCGCTCCGATTCCACCAGCCGACTCTGAGGATGACGTCGTCCCAGAACCTGGCGGCGGAGGACGACGTGGAGTGACGAGGGGCGGCACCCGCCACCGACCGTCGTCCATCGACCGCTGGGCCTTCAGCATCTTTGTGCCCCCCCCCGACCCCCCCCCCCCCCCGCTGCCCCCCACCTCCTCGCCCACCCCCGTAGCCTTCACAGCTTCTGGGAGACGGACGCCGATGGGAAGCCGAATATTTTTCGGGGTCGCCGATTAGCCTTGCGGGTAGGCTGCGTGAATAATCGGCAAAGCCATAGTGGGGGTAAACTGGATGTGGTGTCCCGTGGCGTGTCGTCCACCTGGCTGAAATGAAGCCCTTTCGCCGCAACAGAAGCGCCGATGACCTCGCTGGCAGTGCCACCTTTTGTTGCTCTTCGGTGTTCCCGAGTCTAATTGTCGTTGGGACGAGGTGGGACGAGGTGGCCCCTGATGGCTTTTAGTATTGAGCTGGGATGGCTGACATCCTGGGTTCGAATCCAGGTTTCAGTCGCTGACTATGGTGAAACCAGACGATGGTGAAACCAGACGATGGTGAGACCAGACGGTGGTGACACCAGACGGAGGTGAAACCAGACGGTGGTGAAACCAGTGAGTTGGTGGTTTCAGCCCGGTCAACAATGTCCGCGCAAAAGAACCTGTCGCATAAAATTTGCTTCTGCAAAGTCACGTAGCAAAAAATAAATAATAAAAATAAATAATAAAGATAAATAATAAAAATAATCTAAAACATAACAGAAATAAAATAATAAAATATTGTTTTCTCTAAATTTTATTATTTATTTTTATTATAAATTTTCCCCTAAGTGACTTTTCTGAAAAAAACTAAGAGTATGAATCCTTGCAGTCACGAAAGCTTCAAATCTAGAATTTGCTTCTGCACTTTGGGATACATTCCATTGCTGAGAATGAAACGCATCGGTTTGACTGCCGCGTGACAAACGTTACTCTCGGTAGCAGAGCAGGTGGGTGGGAAAGTGCCGTCCCTTGCTTTGTATATCAGAGGTCATTTGCAGGCATCTCAGAGGTAGCTCTGTAGTGTCTGCTTCCGTGGGCCATTCTCTAACAGAAAGCTGCACTGCTCCGCAGGATTCGATCGGATCCTTCGTCATGTAACATGACGCTGATAGCGTAACCGGGATACAAATTTGGGAGAGCTTTAGTTTGAAACATCAGTGGAAACGATCAACCAAACATACTTAGACGCTGTCGATAAAATTTCCTGCTTTGAATTACAACTTAAGGAGAAATTCAGCTTCAGCTGTCGAAAGCAACTTGTCACAGGTTCGTATATTTTAATGGGAGTGGTTGAGGGTTACGGAACGGTGGTGCCGTGGTCCGCGCACCTCGCTGTAAACCAGCCGGCCCGAGTTAAAATTCCCGGGCCACGGATATTGTCAGTGGCGAGACATGACGGATCCTACCCCCCCCCCCCGTCCCTGCCACCCCCCCTGCCCTCCCACACACTCGCCACTGGCGGTAAGCCGTAGCCAGTAATCAAACTCAGGTTGCAGGTTTTTGTAAGTGGTGCGTGAACCGCTGCATCGCCACTCTCCACGAGATGAGCAGTATTATTATAACGTAAATATGAGAAATGCAGTCTTAGTTTATGGTGTATATTTTTTTATTTTCGTGAATTAGTTTGACTTGTAAGTCCTTTATTGAACCAAATGAGCCTCGGCTTACAATATAAATATATATTTATTTTAGAAGGTTCATACCGAAGTTGTTTGACCAATGTTTTTGTCGTCGTTCATTTGTGTAATGAGAAAGTGGCCTTGAAATTCCTGATAACCCACGTTTGCCAATTTTGCTTAATTCTAAAACGACACCACAAATGTATCAGGATTACACAGCAGCAGCACTGATCATCGCTTCCCCCTTGAGTCACGCTGTACCACACAGGGACAGCTGCTACTGGGGGTGCCCTTTCACACGTGCTGAGATGGTGATGTGCGGTGCTCGGAGATGCCCAGGCATATAGGAGAGCAGCTCTAACAAAAATGAAATAATCATTGGTAACATCGCATCTTCAAGCGATTCTATGCGAACATCATCTTCCGTTATAGTCTCTTCTGCAACGTGTCTTTTATAGTTTCGGACAATTTGTTCTGATTTCTAACATCTCCTCCCCCCCCTCCCCACTTACAATGCACTGTGCATTACATAGCTGTCAACCCACACGGCTTACCCGTATTCTTGTACAAGTAAATTGAGTTTTCAGGTCCATACGGCTTACAGCCGTTTCAATAAGGGCAACACAAATGTGTCTGTGTTTCTCCCTTGTGATTGGACTTTGTAGGATGAACGTTGAGATTTATTGAGGCACGATATGACCAATAAGGTCTGAATTGGCCTGTAATAAGATAGGCACTGATAAGGGGTTGACAGGGATGACATCATGCTAAGTTAATGTCCTCGTTAAGGCGTTCCCATCGATTAGAACTCACCTCCGAACCCACGTTTGATTGTTCACTTTGCATCGTAATCCCCACAGAACTTGACCGCTATTTTCATCCACTTCAATCTGCCCGCCCTCATAAAATACCTTGATACTTTTTGGACCGTGCGATGTTGTGGGTTATCAGGTTTATTTCAAGACTGCGATGCAGACTGCCAGCGTGCACCTGTCCACGTCGGTGATGACATTGCCGATCATGCGACGTGTGTGTGGTTTAGGAGGTAAAGCGATTGTTTCGTTTTTGTTTTTTCATTCCTCAAAAGCTGAGTATTTACGCAGCAGATCTCTTCAACGGCGGTCACTTAACTGAAACCCCCCAGCATGCTTTGCATGCCAAGATGACTTTGTCATTCCCCGTGCGCATTCTGCACGGACTTCTGGTAAGGTGGTGGGGTTTGTTTGCGTGCCTGTGCATTGTCTGTGTTGTGTGCTATCGGTGCGCGTGTCTCCGCTCGCCACTAGAGGCCGCTACACACCGCACTGTTTGAACGTCGTTTAAAAAAACAAACAATTCCTAAGTCTTATCACGATCTTGAGTTGTGACATTTGAATCGTGATTTTGGGGGCGAGTAATTGGATGGCTGGTTGGTTGGTAGGCGCGGTGGTGTAACGCTCGTGCCTCGCCGCACGATGGACCTGGGTTCGCTTCCCGACTCGGGTGCCTTTCTGTGCGGAGTTTGTATACAGGAATCCCTTGCCAACCTCCGATTTGCCAACCGCTGTTCCATGTGTACACGGGTTTATTATTTGAATTCCAATGTTCCCACCGCGGGCCTGGAAATGTGCGTGTCCACGGGTAAACGCGCGTTGTCGAGGAAGACACATGGCGTGTGTGATAATATAACGCATCGTTCTATTGCAGCATCACATTGCAGTGCGTGACGCTGTGTAGTCGATCAGTTGATGTCCATCTGTTGTGTCGTCCTGCGTTGTAATTCTCGCGGCGCGTAGGCCGTGTCGCATCGAACCACATTCACGTTGATGTAGCAGCACTGTGATCGTGGACCCGAAGCGAGTGGTGAAGGTGGGCGTGTTGCGTCTGTGGCCCGGAGGAAGAGGGGAGGGAGGTTATAGTCGTGGTTCTTTCGGTAAAGTCACGTAGAAATTTTTTTTTTAATAAAAGCAAAAAACCCACAATAAAAATAGTGAAATAAATTAAAATACATTTTAAATAATAAAGGAGGGGAGGGAGGGTGAGCCCCTCCCCCTCCTAACCACCCCTTCCCCCCATCACCTCATTGTCATTAATATTACACGTATTCAACGTTGTAATGTTTATGTGTTATACTGTTTACGCTATTATTAAGTGTTTAGTTCAAGGGGCAAGTTACGCCATGACGATTCTGACCGCGGCCATTGGCCCCCCTCACCCCATTACGGTATTTCCCGTGCGTCTTTCGTCTTATCAACCGCGGTTTTGCCTACCACGGGGGTCTTCAGGAACATAACCCCCGCGGTGAGTGAGGGACTGCTGCATTCTTCTGTCTGCGTGGGTTTCCTCCCGTAGCTCAAAAATAAAAACCACAAACTAGCTGGTATTGGCCAAAAACATCCCAATTTTTCACCGTAAAGGCCATTTCTACATAGGAATTTTGATCCGAATCATAGATTATAGGTTCCCATGACAATTCTCTTTGTTTTTTTTTATATCACGTAATGTGATTTATTTTACAGGGCGTAAACATTTCTCACGGAATATATTTTTTTGCCAAGGGCGCTGGGTAGACGATTCGCCACACCCCGAGATGTATTATAGATGTTGTGTGCCGGGGTGGGGAGATATTTGTCCGTGTCGCTGCTTCACAGGAGTCGGTGGCACGCGACCAGTGGCCACAGCCGTAGCGAGATGCATACTGGATGTTGTGTGCCGGGACGGGAATATATATTCTGGTTACTTACCCGGGCAGAAACGGCTGAAATAAAACTCTGGTTATTCGATTATTTGTGTTGCTAGCATGACTGTGAATACGAGTGGCCACGTGTCTGTGTGTGCTATGTCTGCCTTTGGTTGAACAATGTATTCAATAAAACACGTGAACGTGCATTTGTGTGTGGGCAGTTTTCCCATGATGGCAGTACACCAATGGAATCTTGAATCTACCTCGGAGATATGAGTGTCACCCCCGTCGTATTATGTGATGGGTTTCTTCTTCGGCGTCTCGAGTTTCCTCCCACATGAAGACAAACTCTCATTACTCATGGAATTCATCGCCAAACATCCCCCAATGTATCGTAACCCTCTTGTAGTAGAGCCCTGAGACTCGGTAACGCGTTTCTGGATAAAATGAATGGAAAAGTTATTCGAATAGTATTACTGTAAGTCGTACAATTGTTGGCATTTCGGACTTTTTTTTTTATCGTCACCGTGTCAATTCAAATGATATCCACTAGGTGTCCGTACGGGACAGGGCATGGTTTCCCTGCTCTATTACTCTGTTGTGATGATGGAGTTTTCCTTGTCGTTTAGCAAATTACATTTTTTTGCATGGTCCAGGCTAATTGGCTCCATGGTGTTAATGCACACATATGGTTCCCAGAGGCAGACTTTGCAGCAGTGAGCATTGGTGGCTATACCGTGTCGATGAGTTCTAATGAGGATGAAAACCGGTCAACAATTTGTCTATCACTGCATCGCTGCTGCTGCAGTGTTTTACATTTGCTACTTTATTTTGATTGGTGTCCTAAGACAAAAGGACCACAATGCACTTCTACAGGAAATGCTGCTGGTTTTCATACCTGATTTTTACACGTGTTGGTGCCTTGCTTGAAGCGCACGGTTTTTTGTCACCGAAATATCGTAGGTGGTGGTTTAGAGGTGTGGCGGTGGTTGATTGGTAGTCGTAAAGTTAGTTGCAGGGGAGTGTGGCGTTCGTGAGGATGGTGTTAGCAGTCACGATGGAGGTGGTGATAACTGTGGCGTGTGAAATCGTGTCGTCGGCGGTGGTTGTGGTTGCAGTGGTGTTTCGGTCGTCGAGGCGAGTGTGGTGTTCGTGGTGTTAACAATGGTTACCGTAACGAGTGGTAACCAACGACGTCCGCGGTGATCGTGACGGGGGTAGTGAAAGTGGTGGCAGAGCCGGGCCCAGAGTTGTGGTAATTTTTGTTAACGATGGTGCGACTGGGGTTGGTGGTGCAGATGGTAGAGATGGTGATCAAGGTTGATGGACATTGTCAGATCGAGTCGGGTTTGAGGATGGTAATGATGGAGGTAGTTTTCGTGGTGGTGGTGGTGGTGCTGATAGTTTCAGTTTCATGTATTAGGTATAACCCTGTGAGCCATGCGGCCCTTGACTCGGGTGCAACCGCAACAAAACAAAAATATGAACAAGAAACATCTTAAAGTGACTACAACGCAACAGAAAAATCCTGTAAAAAAACAGCAAAGTCTTCCAGAAAAAGCACCGCATTTCAACGCTGTGTGCAAAAATGCCAGTGGGATGCAAGTAAAACAATAACAACCATAAGACAATGTAGATAGTGACGGCAGCCTGGAGCAAGCGCTGTTAGCGAGCACCTATTAAGGCTGACACGGCACACGAGGATGATGAATGTCCAGCACCACGCCCCACCGCCTTTGTCTCCCCAGTGCTGACGTTCGACACGCCAAAAAACAAGTATATTCATTTTAAGGCCGAGTCCACCTAGATGAGGCCCAGCACCGGGTTCAGATGTAGCCCACTGCTTTCTCTTGGGCTGGGAAAAGAACCACGGGTCGCCGCCGATTTCGCACCGCAGTGCGCTAACCACTGCGCCACCGCTCACCCCCACATATTTGCACGACAACAACGCCACTAAGTGGCGGTGATATCACCACGGCGCTTGTGCCAGGCTAGGTGCACGGTAAGGCCACGTGAAGCGTCGAACGCCCGCCGGCAGGAGGTCACGGGGCAGACCCAGCAGGTGCCACGGGTCGACTGACTGAGATGACTGGGCCGATGCACCACCTGTGCCCCCCCTACTGTGCCAACTTGCTGAGCTTTTATCCACCCGGCGCTCCGCTCGTTGTTGTGAGCGTCGCTCCTCCGTCCTCCTTTGTTGCTGGAGGGCGACTGCCTCCAACTGCGCACGTACGCACAAAGACAAATAACCCTCCTGTGTAGCCTTAACAGGCTGCTGGGGCAAGTTCTGTGAGCGAGCACTCATGAAGGCCGGCACGGCACACGTGGGGGTTGGTGGCCAGCACCACGCGCGGCTGGGAATAGCAACTCGGTCGCCGGTCTCGCCCGGCAGTGCGCTAACCACTGCGCCACCGCTCCCCCCCCACATATTTGCACACACGCACGCGCACACACGCGCGCGCGTGCTCGTGCCTGCCATATGCGCCGCGTGCCAGCAGTCCTTTCATCAGACAGGGCGACAGATGCGTGGCCTGAACAGAGACCGGGATCAGGGACCAAGTATGTGTGTGTGCGTGCGTGTCATTGTATGTGTGTTATTGTATGCGTGTGTGTCAGTGTATGTGTGTGTGTGTCAGTGTGTGTGCGTGTGTCAGTATGTATGTGTGTGTGTCGGTGTATGTTTGTGTGTCATTGTATGTATGTGTGTGTGCGTGTGTCATTGTATGCGTGTGTCATTGTGTGCGTGTGTCAGTGTATGTGTGTATGTGTCAGTGTATGTGTGTGTCAGTGTGTGTGTCAGTGTATGTATGTGTGTGTCAGTGTATGTGTCAGTGTATGTATGTGTCAGTTGTGGGGAGCGGCAGTGTAGCGGTTAGCGCCCGCGCTACGAACCTGGCGATTATCTGAACCGGTCCTGGGCCTCCCCTAGGTCGACTCAGCCTCAAATGGTGCGATGTGTAAACCTCGCCACTAGGGGAGACAAAGGCGGCCGGGCGTTGTGTTGGCCACCCACCCTCACGTGTGCCGTGCCGGCTTTCATAGGTGCTACTCGTCTTCTTGGTTCTTTCGGTAAAGTCACGTAGAAGGGAAGTAATAAAATAATAAAAATAAAACATAATAAAATAATTCTCACGACGTTTCGGCCACAACGCAAGCAGCCGTCATCACAACGCAAGCAGCCGTCCTCGCGTTGTGGCCGAAACGTCGTGAGAATTATTTTATTATGTTTTATTTGTATTATTTTATTACTTCCCTTTTACGTCACTTTACCGAAAGAACCAAAAAGATGAATCCCTGCAGTCACGAAAGCTTTAAATCGAAATGTAGGTGCTACTCGCTAACAGCACTTGCCCCTACAGTCTGTTAAGGCTATACGGGGGATCTTTGTCTTTTGTGTGTGTGTCAGTGTGTGTGTTAGTGTGTGTGTGTCAGTGTGTGTTCGTAACGTGTCTCCCGAATGCTGATGCCACCCACCCACCCCCTCGTGTGCCGTGCCGGCCTGTTTCTGGGTGCTGTTCGCAAACAGAACCCCCCCGCTCCCCCAGTAGCAGCCTGTTGCAGGCTCCGCGAAGTGCGGGGAGGGAAATCTTTGTCTTTGTGTGATCCGGAGTTGGGGGGAGTTGGGTGGAGGTAGCGGAGGGGTTAGCGCCACTGCGTTACGATCCCGGCCACAGCCAACATCAGTGACCAGGCGATGTGAAGTATGGTCGATCAGCTGTTGTATGTGCGGTATGGATTGTGTACGTGTTTGCCTATGTCATGTGCATAGATATGTATGTTCGTACGTGTGTGTGTGTGTGCACGTATCCACGTGTACGTGTGTGCGTGTACGCTACCGGGGGAGCGTTCGTGCAGCGATTAGCGCGCTGCGCTACGAACCCGGAGACCCGAGTTCGATTCCCGATCACAATTCAACACCGGCGACAATTATCCCAACCCAGTACTGGGCCTCCCCTAGGTCGCCTCAGCCCCAAATAAGTTCGTCGGCGTGTAAATATCGCCACGAGCGAGACAAAACGACGGCCGGACGTGGTTGCTGGCCAGTCCATCCCGTCGTGTGCCCTTCCGCCCTTCGTAGGAGCTAGCTGACAGCACTTGCCCCAAAATGATGTGAAGGCTATACGGGGCATCTTTGTCTTTGTATTGTGCGCGCGCGCGTGTGAGTGTGTGTGTGTGCGTGCCATGCTTTATGAGCACAGGGTGATGGGGGGGGGGTGATGGAGGATGGGGTTTGTATAGACGCGTGCAAGTCGCACAAAGCGTGGGGCACAATGTGGGAATTTACAACTGTGGGGGATGGCGGGTGGGGGGAGGTGGGGGGTGGCGGGTGGAGGAGTTAGTGGGGGGAGGAGGAGGTAGTGGGGAGGGGGACAGAGGAGTTGTGGAGCCGCAGAGGCGACGGGGGTTGTTGATGGGTGGTTTCGAGTACGCGTGGGTGATGTGGAGGAGACTTCGTGGTCAGTGAGGAGGCAGTCCGCCCTCCAGCAACAACAACGGGCGGAACAGAGGAGCGACGCTCACAATAACGGGCGGAGCGCGCGGCCGATAAAGTGTCAGCAAGTTGGCGCAGTCGGGGGGCACGGCTGGTGCATTTGCCAGACATCTGAGTCGTCGGTCGACCCACGGCACCTCGGTCTGTCCCGTGACCTCCTGCCGACGGGTGTTCCGACACTTCCCGTGGCCTCAAAGTGCACCTAGCCTGGCACATGCGCCGATGTGACGTCGCCGCAATTTAGTGGCGAATGGCGGTTGTTGTTGTTGTTGACGGAGCTGTCCCCTACCTCCTAGCGAACCATCGGGGTGACGTTTCTAAATCACCATCATCAACATAATCGTCGTCATAATCCCATAGCTCTCGCTACATCAGCTTTCGAGGGCTAATTACAGAAACGTGTCTAATAAAAAGCACTCTCAGCCTCTCTGTGCGCTCTGCAAACAACAAAAAACTCCCCATCAGCACTTCCTGAACAAGCGCATTGCAGTCCTTTGTGAGGACATTGGTAACGATACTGTGCTGCTGCTGCTGATGATGATGAGCCCGAATTATGACGAAACCGGCCCAGGGTAGTTGTCGTATCGCTGGCACTATCAGTCAGTCACATTGGCTGAAACAATATTGTGATGCATTTGAACAATCTCGGACTAAACTTAAGTCACTCAGAATTAAATCTATTTGCTGATGACACTGTCAATGCGAGTATCAG